TCCATTTGTCTCCCATATTTCCCTCTGGCCAAACAATCCCTCCCGTTCCTCATCCATTTCATCCTTTATTCAATCTCATTGCTCTTATCCTTATTGCTGTCCCCCATCCCTCTCATCCCTGTTCTCCTATTTAGTATTTTCTCACATTGCTAACATTTATCATTACTCTCTTACATCATTTCTTGCACATTTCATCCTTCTCATCCTTATTTTCTCTTCCTTTTGATTTCATCCTCTCTTGTTATTACAGATATTTTGTTCTCTGCTGTCTCCTTGTTCTCAAAATAGCATATAAATTAATAAACAAAGTTAAAAAAAAGGACAAATGCTTGGATTCTGACACAAACATCATCCTGTGAAATTTCTTCCTTGCTATAAAAATCAAACATATATCATTGTCCGCATTAGGAGATCTATATCACATTTAGAGCCAATCACGTCTGTGCCTCACAGGAGCACAAGCACAGCTGTAGATCTTTTTTTTATTATTATTTAAAGGAGCGTGAGTCAGCAAATAGAAGGTCATAATTTTACCCTGTCATCTTTTAAATGTCACAGGTTTCCTTGTTACAGCAATAAAGAAGCTAAGATTGTTTGGAGCTCAACGATCTGAGCTGCACAAAACGCAAAAGAGACATTGGTGAAACGAGCGCGCTCGGTCAGTTTGTGGCATCCGTCGATGTGGCGCGGACGAATCCAGGTCCGTCTGTGGACCTGACAGGCTGCGGCTCATTAAACCCCCGTCAGACACTGGGAGGTCAAGACGACGGAGAAATCTCAGGCGAATTCATGTATGCATACCGCATCTGCAAAAATATGCACAGAGGCAGGAGAGGATAATACTCCAAACCAATCAGATGATTCATATTCCACATTTTAATCTGTACTGCTGACCAGTTCTGAGAAATCTTTAAACGGAGCACAAAGAGAATTATGTTGCTAAGGTTGAAGCCCAGGGGAGCATATTTGTCAGAACATGTCTCGACATTGCATGGTAAATTAAAGCATGATTTAATTTGCTTTAGCTTATATTTTCCTCTCAAAGCAAGCGGTGCACCTGCAGGGTTACTCTGCTCTGTTTCAGGGCAGATGGCAGATTGGCTGCCGGGAAGCAGGATGACAATGTTGCTGCAGAAGGCTTCACAGTGGGGCAGACAGGGGAAGAATGGGGCCACAGTGTGGCACGGAGGATGCGATGAGAATAAAAAACTTGTTTATTAGTGTTTTATTCCACCGTGTTTTAACAGTAAACAAAGTATGACATGCATGTTTTTTAATTTTTACTTTTCCTGCAGGGATTCCTGATGCAGCAGAACCTGTATCTAGTTTTATTTCTGAGCTGCTCTTTTGCAAGGTCAATAAAATGAGTCGTATGCCAACCTCAGGCTGTGCTGTGCCTCTCCATCTCTCTTTGACCTTTGTGCTTCCCTTTTTCCTCTCCTCCCTCCCTATTCTCTTAGCATATTAGAATCATATATGTCTATTTCAATGTTTTAATCGTTCTAAATAATTTCTCTTCCTTGTTTGCTGGTCAAATCACCTGGGATCCAATGTGAGTAGCAGAGAGGAGGGAGAGAGGATGGAGCAGGATCTCTGTCAGCTCCGCCTGTTGAAGGGCCAGTCAAGGGGAAAGGATTAGATACATTCTGTCCTTCTCACACACCGACTTATCAGGGCCACACGACCAGGCTACTTAAGAGAGACCTGTGTTTGGGTTGTGTTTCATAGCTGGTTAAGATAAACGGTTAGGATAAAACAAAACACTTATTTCGCAAAACAGAAAATTGCATCTTATAGGTTCTACAAAAGGGAAGAGAATGTTTTTAAGCAGATGCGTGATTTTAAAATCTACTAAAACATATAAGAATTGACAGAATGTGACTACCTTTTGTCAACAGAAGATGAAAAAATTTAATACAAATGTTTTACATATTTTGCATGTTTTTCCATTTGGGTCTCTACTGACTCTAAAAACAAGCCAAGCACTTAAAAAGAACACTCAGACATTTTGTTGGAAATCAGTTAATGTTTCTGGGTGTCTGGAAAATGAGCCGTTTCAAAAACCTTCCAAATGTAACGTCACCAATCAGCAGGCTCTGCCCGCTGCCTAGCAACTCCAGAAGAGTTCTGCCCGTTACCTAGCAACCCAAGCTGAGCTCCAGCATGTTTGGACAGCTGGTTTTACTGGTGTATGTGTGTAATTACTGAATTACCATCCAGAAACAACTTGCTGCATTCTTGTTGATTGTGCAGGATGCTGTACTAATGCTTTTCAAAGGATGAATAATTATCTGTTTGCAGCCATTTTCATGTGCAAGTGCAGATGCTGAGTTGGGGGGTGTGGCCAGCTGCAATTTATTTGGATATAAAGTGACAGGACGAGCAAAAATAGCTCAAAATTGGCAGAACTGACCAGATTAAAATCTCATCAACTGAGAATGAGATTTTGCAAATAAATAAATAAATAAATGTTTTGTGTAGCCTATACCCTTTTCTAACCTGAACCAGAAACTTCCAGAATTTAGGGCTGGCAACATAGCTTAAAAATGAAATAATTGTCACACTCTGTCAGTTATTAACTGTTTTAGTAGATTTTAAAAATATATTTATTTATTTTTTGAAAATATCTACCCCCGCCCCTCCAAAAAAATAACTGTCTGTTATTTAAGTAATTCATTCGGTGAGTTGATCTGAGTTTTAAATTGAAATAAATAGAAACTCTAAAATATGCCTGCCACACAAGACTGTAGTTCTTGGGTGGATTATTACTTTTATGATCCCAATCCCCTCCAAAATAAAAAATAAAAAATTTGATTTATCTAATAATTAAATCTTCAAAAACAGAAAATTTCATTCATAGATTAAGTTGATTCATTGCCCAGCCCTTTGCCAAAATGTTATTGTTAACTAAAATGTTTTTGTCAGAAAATTTCATTTACTGCTGTGGTTATGCTTTCACCACAGTGCACTTTCAAATCCCTTGGATGAGTGTCAGTTTGTTAAGTCTCCAAACTTCTACTCACACTTAGCAGTTTATTTTTCCTATTTGTGGACAATTACACATACGTCTTATTTTTGACTCACAACTGAGCTGCAGACATTGCCTTCACTACTTTGCCCTGCACAGCCTTTGTTATGCATTAATGCCCAGGTTCAGCGTTCCATGCACAGCCTGGTCACAGCTTTCAGCTGCAGGCTCAGTTTACTTCTTTTCCGCTTTTTTTTTATTCTTTTTTTTTTTTTTTACATTTTCACAATTTTTATTATGTTAATTATAGCTCAGAGTCATATAAATAAACTGTAAAAAAGGATTACTATTATTTTTAACTTTTATGCTGCCATTCCTCAACATAGCCTCTAATTAATGGTAGTTTATAATAATAAACAATGTGTCTTTCCTCTTCAGTTTGTAATGCAGCTTAGTATTAAAGTGGAGTCAATTTTTCTGTTTTTTCTCCACATTTCACAGCATTCCTTCAATTTTGAACTTTTCTACCTTTTCTTCGATGTGCCGTGTTTGCCTTTTTGATCTGCGGCCATGTTTGTTCGTCTGTGTTAAGGTGACAGGGCTCCTCTGATCACGTCAGAGGAACATCGTCTGTTGTTTTGCATCAGCGCTGTCACATCATGGCCGACTCAAACAGATCTTCACCGTGTCAGCCACGTCTACAGCCTCTCAAGCTCGCAGCTGCTCTTCCGGAGCCACATTTCAGCAGATTTTCCCCTCTGAGCCACTTTACTTTCTGACTTCTCACCTCAAAAGTGAGATCCCGCAGCATTTTTTGCAAATGTAAATTAAAACAGAGAAAGCTGTGAAGAGCCAAAACACTTAAAAGTTTGAGTAGCAAAGATAATCACTTTCAAAAAAGGTATTTTTTACTGCATTGTGAACTTCCTTCATCTGAAATGTTGAGAACAGTCACTGCTACTAAAAACATAAAAACGACTTATTAAGCAAATTTGCCAGATTTGGTAACGCTTTATTTGATGAGGTGTGCATAAGTCTGACATGACACTGTAACAAACATGACATAACACTAATCATGAACATCAAATTTTGATTTTCCAATAATTAAATCTTTAAAAACAGAAAATGGGTAAAATAAAGTGTTACCCATTTCTATCCTGAAGAAAAAGATATAAAACTTAGATAGTTAGAAAAACCTAACAAAAACCTTATATAATAGCAGAAAGTATGATGGCATGAACTGATCAGTACATCATTGCGAGAAAACGCAAAATAAGAAAAATCCTCCATAATCTGTGGTTTATCCCCTTGATTTTGATTCCCACCTGTGTATTTTCTACCGGGCCAATCAGCGAACAGAAGAAGTTGTGAAAGATGACGTCATTTTCCTGCGCTGTTTTTAGAATTGTAGTCCGCCTGTATTCTTAGCAATAGCAGCGGTGGAAGCAAACTTCCAAATATTAGGTTAACATTAACAGACAAACTATTCGGCTCTGCGAGTATTTAAACAAGCAGAAGTAAGTTGTTGTTTACAGCAAATTTAATTTCCGGTAAGCGTCAAAATGGCGTCGCAGTCAAACGCTAGCAATTAGCTGAATTAAGCTGTGGGCGTGGATTCCTGAGACGTTAGCAGATTTTCCCCATGTGACCGTAAACACGCAGGAATGTACGCCAGCTCCTGCCCTGCATGTTTACAGGTAAACATAATGCCAGCCATCGATGTGAACGTGAGGGAAAGCCTCTGCAGAACATGTTCTGGAGGACTTTATGTGTTTGCATTAAACAAAGTTTCCACGTCACTTTATGCCTGAATTTCAAGTCCAGCACCCTCTTACCTTAAATATCGCAGGCATAAGACGTCGGGGTTATTCATGGCTTTTGCGCCTTCAGATGTGAAATGGCGCAGCTCTCCAGACAAGTAGCTCAGGTTACATTCATGAAAATCACAGGTTATTTCCCTTGCTTGCTATGTAACTGACAGCCTGACACTTTCTGCTAACGCTGTATTTCCCTCTCTCTTTTTCCTCTCCAGCTCATTTGCCATGTCTAAGACAGCGGTGAAGAAGCTGCACTGGCGGTCCAATGTGCAGGACACCTTCATCCCCTTGCTTGGCGCGTCTGGAGAGCTGGGGGTCGCGGTTGGTGGCGGAGCAGATTATGGAGAGTTTCCCTTCATCACGTCGGCTCCCGGCGGCAGCCTCACAGTGGGAGACATCATCCTGGAGATCGGAGGAACTCCGGTGTTGGGGATGACTTTAGGAGATGTTCGAGGAGTTCTCAACTCCTGCCCCCATCCTATCCGAATCAAAACTGTTTCACCAGGTACGAGCACAAATGAAGCTCAGGTGATGTCTTCCAATGGTTTGCCGTTTGTGAAGTTACACAGTAAAACGATTGCATTGAATTTCCACGACAAAATGACACAAATCATTATTAAAATAATCAATACGTTGGTCAATATTTTATTGATTATGTTTCAAAATCAGCTCTAAACAGGTTTAATCTAGATTTAAAGGAACTCCGGCTGGTTTGCAGTTTTCTGGAAGTTTGTTCCAGATTTGTGGTGCGTAGAAGCTGAATGCTGCTTCTCCATGTTTGGTTCTGGTTCTGGCAGCTCTGCAGAACCAGAAGACCTGGGAGGTCTGGAAGGTTTCTATGACAACAGCAGATCTTTAATGTATTGCGATGCTAAGATGTTCTGGTTTTTATGAACTAACAACAGTTCTGAGCTATCAGGTTTAAAAAAAATCAGCCTAAATTAAGCCTAAATTAATGTGAAAAGAGTTTCATTTATGGTAACTCTGTCCAGTCACGTAGTCAAATCCAGAACCAATGACATTCTTTACAGTTTAATCCCAATTATAATCCAGTGCAGTCAGAAACAGTTGGTCCTTTGATGCCAACTGGTAAGAAGGGAGTCACTGAATGTGCAGCTTTGAAACATCAGTGATGCATAGATTTATTTACTGTGAAAACTAGTATTCTTTACTCTTATTGGCATAAATTAACTTTCATGCCCTTGTAGACGGCTTCATTTGGTGCTGTCTATTATACAAACCTGCTGTGAATGTGTCACTTCACACCAAAATAGTCTGAGTCACAGAGGCTGCCGTCTATTTACTTTCAGCTCTATTTTCCTTTTTACACTCTCAAGAGCCAAATCTGCTGCTTGTAGCATTTTACTGCTGACTTGTCAATGACTGTGTTTGAGCGTGCATGTCAAGTAAGCTGGTCAATATTTGGGTTGTCTCCACAATCAGTGATGACACATGACAAAAGGCTTTGCAATATGGTTTTCTGTCAACCACAAGAGGCCTTGATGTTGTGATTCGGAGGTTTGAGACATGGATATCTTTGTTGGCTCTGAACAGGGTAATGTGTCATCTGACCGTGGCTCCCCGTGGCCTTGGCTTGTTTGATTGATAGCTGATTTGGACACAAGGGTATAAATGGGCACCTTTGCTCCTGGTACCTCTGTTGCTGGTGGAGATCCATTATCAGCTGTGAAGCCTTCCTGGCCATCCCCGGGCAGCTTGACTGCATGCAACCTGGACAGTGATGGATGTGTTGCTGCTCTGGGTCGGTGTGGCACACCTCCTCCTCCCACTCTCTCTAGGACTATTACTACTATTACAACTCCCTCCGCCCCAGCTTTCAAATACAGGACACCAAGATGGGCTCCCCAGACGCAGGCAGCACAAATAGCAACGATACCTTACTACTCACAAACTGAGAAATTCAAAAAGAGGCTTTAGACAGAACAGACTTTAAGCTACACCTAAAGCCGTCATTGTTTGGGGCGGTATGTTTACACTGCATACTGAGTATTTCTGGTTTACTTCAAACAGGAGAAAACAAACTTAGAATTAACTTTTTATTGCATATTTTTTATGTATTGAACACTGCAAAAACACAAAATTTGACCAAATTTACCAAATACCAAATATTTTTGTCTAGTTTTTAGTTCAAGTACCTTAATACGTTTTAAACAAAATAAAATTAACTTACAATTAACTATAGATTTATAGTCCCAAACATATTTGAAAACTTATTTTAATGCCACTTTGTTTTGTTCTACCTCCTAAAATCCCAATGGAATACATTGAAGTCAATGGATACACTGTGATGATACAGGGGAGTTTCAGGAGGTTTGGCTCTGTAATCCAAGCGCAGTTGGTTTATTCAGTCAAAGAGCAAATTTTCAGGCCTGAACAGACTAGAAAACATCAGCTGTTTTATAACACGTTGAACAAAAGCCCATAATTTCTCCCTAAAGGCAACAGACGAGATTAAATCCTCCTTTACAGGCAGCAGCCATATGTGACCATTCATACTTACATGCAGCTAACCGCCAGGCGTGAAGTTGAATCCTTTGGTATTTTTAAAATCAGTCTGTTACTAGGTAGGGTTAGTGTAGCAGTCAGGAGGGCGGGGGGTGTCAGAGGTGTCAGGGTGCAGACAGACAGGCGGATGCCTGCAGGGGTCGCACCGACAGAGTTGTCATCTGTGAGGGTGACAAGTGAAGATGTGTTCAGCCCATCAATAACAGGAAGCGGGCTGTCATCCAACGCCGTAAAGCTCTGGAGACATTATTAAGAGATCACAGAAAGAAAACGGAGTCCTGCCTCTGTTTTCTCTATTTTTATACATGAAGGAGACTCAGTTCACAGTCAGGTTAAATGCATAGTGAGGTGTTGGTATCAGGGTTTAGGTCATAAAACATTGTTTTTAAATCCTAGTAGCAGAAATAATTTGGACACAATCAAGCTTGGCTATTTTTATTTGGCCTTTTTTAATGCAGGCTTTCTCATTGAGACCCGTTTCGATAAAACATTACAAAGATTACAAACACAGCAACAAAAAAAATGAAAAAGTTTGACTCAATTAAATCTGCTAATAAAATATGAGCACAAAAATAAAGAGCACATTTCTTAAGAATTATAATGTGCTAAATGTGTTAATGTGTTCATCCTTAGTAGATGCATAGATAAATAGATGCTTCTCACCATGCATGGAAATTTACAATACAGCTCAAGATTGCTTATGGCAATGAACAACTCACAATCAAATCACAATAAACAATATTAAACACCTATAATGCAGCAACTTAAGAAACTATGCTAATTTGTAGCTTCTAATTGTGGTTTCTCCTCTTTATGGCGTTCATGTTTTGTTTGCCCTCCCCTCAGGCTCCACATTGTGCAAAGATCTCAGGTTATATCTGAGCAAGTGCTTCACACCCGGCTCAGTGGACAGCCAGCTTCAGCAGGTCATCAGAGAGAACCTCTACCTCCGGGCCGTACCCTGTGAGTCTCCCTCTCTCTCTTGCCATAATTTCTTCGTAAATCTCCGATCTTTCTTCGCCTGCTGCTGATTTGTGTCCTTTATGTCTCCTCTGCATGCATTTACACCTCTCATGTGATGTCATCTGTCAGCTCATGTCAGTTTAAGGCTAATATTAAATCGACTTCAACCTGGCTTATGTTCATAATTTAGCCAAGCGTGTCTCTTCGTTTTCATTACCGGCCTCATTAATTCTGTGACAACGTATCTCCTGTTGCTGTCACGTGAATATCCTGGTGTTAATTAGTACTTAAGCATGCAGAACTGTTTTCCTCACTTCCTCATGTCAAAGCATGCTCCCACTGGGTGATGCTTTACTGAATCATTCAACTTTCCTCATGAAACGGTCAGTTGCAATTAAATTTAATAAAAACGTGAGTAAAAGGCAACCAGTTTGGGCAGTCAGTATTGCCACAACACGGTTTATTTTGTGTTGTGCATCGACTCAATCGCTTCGCTGCTCCAGGCAGTTTGACCAGGTGGTGCTAAATCTGAGGGTAGTTCTCTGAAACAGGTTCTTCTAGTTTATTTATTTATTTTTATCCTGCACAAGCTATTTCATTTTGATTATAATGAATAAAAGCATGCAGAGTGGCAGCCAAAGGCAGCTAGTAGTTGTACATCTGTTGCTATCTTAATCCCCTCCATGGTGACGTCACTGCGGACGGCTGCAGGATATAACAGCTGACTATTCCGAGTCTGGAATCCCAATTTGCTTTTTCCATAATGTAATTTCCTGCCTTGTTTTGCGTTTTTTTTTTATTTTGCTTTTTACAAGCGGTGATGCAGAGGATACACCCATCACTGTCTTCTCTTTGTGTGTGTGTGTGTGTGTGTGTATGTAGTCTTAACCTTGTCGTAGGACTGTGGAGTTGCTGTTAATCTCTCCTTTAGTCCAGGAAGTAGGTCAAATGGCACAGTCTGCCGCCACGCCACACAACTCACCCTCTGACAGAACAAAGAGTGGTCCAGAACGCACAAGACGGCGTGAGAGAGCCTGGCGTTATCTCTCAAATTGAAGTTTAATTGCAATTTTAACTGTTTTTCATCTTATTACCATGCTTTGCATCTATCTAAAAGTGGCTGCTCAGGGACGGCGTAATCCAAATTAACTCCGCCGCTCTCTGCTTTTAAAAAAAAAATTAATAATTAAAATGAACCAATCAGATGAAGGCGAGCCAGAGAAGGATTTAAGGAAACAAGTGCCCTGATTTTAATTATTGATTAAAAAATAAAAAATAAAAGGAGTTGTTTAATCCGTCTTGCTTTATTGTTGGGAAACTTTACAAACTTCCTGCCATCTTTGGGCGTTTTAATTTAGTAAGAGTGACAACAAGGCAGGCTCGGCCCCCTGGGTGTGTAATCCCCTGATCTCCTGAAGATGACACAGTCAGATGCTGTTGTTCTCTTGCTCACACCGGCGCAGCCTGATCCCCACGCAGCTCAGGCAGCATCACTTCTTACTTCAAAACGCACAAGTCTCTTTTTTCCCTTTCCCGCTCGTATTGTTTTTCTTTTTCCCCTGAATGAGGCAGCTGTGTTTAACAGGAGCGAAAAGCTGAGGAGTTTTCATCAGTGGCTCATTGTGGCCCCCTTCAGGAACATAAGTATGTTTTCCTGCTTTCTTTCTTGACTTGCATTTCTAGTCATTTATTTGGTACAATTTTTAAAATAGACGTCAAGCTAAGGAACAGTCTTAAAAACAGTTTAAATTCAATTAGGTGTTTTCAAGGTTTGGAAAGTGTTTAATTTCTGTAAAAAGTCCTTGAAAGTGATTCATATTCAAACTGAACAGTTTGGTAATAAAATGCAATATAAATTTGTAAAAATTAAAACTAGATGTTTTCATGAATCTGAAAAAGGCAGATATTTTTTTGACTGCTTGACGTTAAATCAGACTAAACTTTTCTTGTTTTTCGTCTGACACAATTACAAAAATAATTTCTATTTGCTAAATTCGAGAAAATGAACAAGAATATGTTTTAGAGATTTTTTTGTCACTTTTTTTATGCTGTTTCAAATCCAGAAATACTGTATTGATCCCAAAGGGAAATTAAATATTGTGGTATTTCTTCAGAGTCATTGTAGATAGACACAATTTATTTGGATTGTTTCAGTGTAATAAATATGTATGGCTTAATAACTTATTTGTCTGTATATTTGAAATAAAATTTGTCTTATATTTAATACATTAAGTATAATTGGAGGATTTTTTGTTAAATTAGTGTTTTGTTTCTAGACCAGTAGGGTGCATGTGAGATTTTACAAAACATAAAGTTTTGTTATATTTTAGTATATTTTGTCCTTGCTATCTAGAATACTATAGTGAGACATTATTAACAGTAATAAATGTTGTATAATAGTCATTTAAAACTGTGTTTATAGTCAGTTTCTGTTGTTTTTACCTCTAAAGTCTGGTGTTGGAAAACGTTTTGAAAAGTAAAAGTGCTTAGGCCATCAGATCATATATTTTGTTTATTTCAAAGTTGTTTTTTTCTCGTTTTGTAAGTCTTGCTTCGTGCTGCTGTTCTGTTTCAGAGTAATTCAGGCATCTTTAGATGAGATGATATTGTTCAATATTGAAGTTGGCACTGATGCAACAAATAACATTACAAAGGCTCATCTGGGAAGGCAGCTCGTAAAAATGGAAATGAACGACAGAATTAAGTGAATGCATGCTGTAGTATCAATAATCTACAGAGAGGAATTAAATTAAAAGCTAACGTCGATCAGGGCCAAAGTCACGTCGCTCTAATGGACGTCACTATGTGCTAATGCTGAGGCAGGCTGTGTGGTACTGGGAGCCAGGGACTGGTTTCCACTTTTAGTGACAGTAATCCCAGTAGGAAGTCTTTCTACACGTCTGTTTTGCATCCAGCTGCAGGCTGGGCTATAACAGAGAGGTTAATTTACTATTTTAAAGCCCTAAAATCTGATCTTATAACTTTGTTTCTAGACTCTCAGACAAGATCAGCTCGAATGTTTTGGAAACTGGTATTTTTTACTCCATTTTCACCTGCTTTTCTTAACCTAAAAGGGTTTTAAGGAGCAAAAACTCATATTTCTAAATGACTCAGTTCGATTGGGGAACAAAGTTGCAACATTTGTTACATTTTCAGCTGCTACAGTTCGCTTTCACACTGCACTGTATCGAACTGAACCAAACCTTTTGAAAAACCTGTTCCCCTCCTCGCCTGTGGTGGCGCTGCACCAAGGACTGCTGAAGAAACCAACATAAAAATCTCTGAAGAAGACACTTTCTTCTTCTTCTTCTTCTTCTTCTTCTCCTTCACAAAATGGAGACAACAGTGGAGTAGCATCAGATTGTTGTAGGATTTTCTTTTGCCTTTGGTAAAACACTAAGAGTCATTTCTCCCACTAGTTTCCCGGGTTTGCTTTGGTTGTAATTACCCAGAATGCCCTGCTTTGTTGTCCACTTTTGCCTTTTGGAATGGTCTCTGGTCCATTCACATATTTATTCGAACAGATTTCACTTGAACCGATCCGATATCAAGGTGTTTGCAAATGTATTGCAGTAGTCAAAGCTCTTATTATTAAATTGTTTGAATCATTCAAGCATCTCATAAATGTATAAAAGTCTGCTAAAATTCTTCAGCAAAGGTTTTGAAAAATATTCCATCTACTTCTTGAAATTATAATCTCATTGAGATGGAAAGAATTGGATGTTTAAGATAAAACTGACTGTTTTCTGACAGTTTAATAGCTTTCTGAGGACTTTAATGTTAAAAAGATCCTTTATTTTGCTCAATAAGACTTTAAATGTAAATTTAAAAAGTGCCACAAATGACAATAAAAGTTTTAACAATAAAAACTCATTTAAAATTTCAGAAGATCTTAAGAATAGAAATATTCTCAGTTCTTTTTTGAATGAAACATTTGGATGATTTCTGTAAGATGTAAAATATTTTGAATCATTTATGTTTCTCTGATTAAATGGAAAGAATTTAACCTATTTTTAAAATTATAGACCAAAAAAATTGGGGTAATATGGCAGTGAGAATATCAGGTTGTGCCTCTTTTCTCTCTTTATTCATAGAGTTTTTTTGGTTTTTTTTTTTTTGTGGGTTCCGGCTTTGATTTACTTTCCATTCTTTCATAATCGCAGTTTGAATTTTGCAGATGTGCCCTTGGATGATTCAGAGCCAAAGTCGCGGTCTGAAGGCTGGCTGCGCCTTCATCTCCTTCATGAAAGACATTTCTAATCGTCTGACTCAGAGATAAGAAACATCATCATTCAACTTATCCTAATGTTCTCCCTGCAGCGTGTCTGTGGCCTTTTAGTCAGCACAGGGTTGGTTGTTTTTGCGTTTTGTGTGCGGTTGATCCTGGCAGACAGTTGTTGGCAGTTCTTTGTAATTACCTCTTCAATCCCTTCCTCATCCGTGTTGCAAGGGATCAGAGTGTGTGGCGCCTACAGGGACAGGCGAGGAAGAAGAAGATGTCAATAATCCATTTTGTCCCCCCCACTGTCACATAGTTATGTATATATATATATAACTCCAATGAGGGTGCATGGACAATGATTCCCTGCCTTGCACCATATCAGCTGGACAGATACTGTGTGTCCTGAGGGAAGGAGAAGAATTACACACAAGTTTGTTATCAGATCTTTAATTAGACGCAAACACTTGCAGTTTTAGTTTTTTTTTGGGTTAACATAATTAGGGGTATATCTATTTTTAGAAATAAGAGGTGCAGAAGTTACATGGGAAAAACACGAACAGGGATGCACTTTGCATTGCAAAACACAAAATATTATTTTTGGTCTTGTTTTTATAGTGTAATGTCTGATTACATGGGAAATAAAGCAAAACTAACAATGGACCAGTCGCAAAAAACAATAATTAATTAATCACATAATAAATTGAAATGAGATGCATGATTTATCGTTTTTCTACCAAAACCTGGATGACAAACGTCTTTTAATCGAGTGTTTTGAGACCTTGTTTTGAAGGACCGTTTTATTTACAGAGACTTCATAATTAATTTAATTTGTTGTTTCTGTTGTTTTGTTTATTTATTTTGGATATTCAAAATGTCTTCCAGTTCCAGTATGATCTGGTCATTTATTCAATTCAAAGGCTTTTACGGATTGATGTATAATTGGAAAAATGAACTGCAAAGCATGAATGAATCGGTATTTTTACCTACACCGATTGCAGAGCGGGAACTTGGCAAGTAGAAGCCCAGATAACCTAGTGCTAGCTTTAAGTGCACTTATTTGGGCCTGTACTTTATTTAACTTTATTTATATAGCACATCTTCAGCAACAAGGCAGTTCAAAGTACTTTACATGAATTAGAAAGAAATATAAACAAAACAATAAAACCAAAAGAAAAAGTAATAAACTAAAATGTTGGTTGGTTTTCCATGTGTTGTTGCTGTAAGTATAAAACTAGATGTTGGTTCCAGGTGTTCGGGGTTGAAAGTAGATGGTACTTTCTAAGTTTGTTCTACAGGTAGGTGAGGAAATTTCATTTATATTTCACAAAGATAGCAAATGAAAATAGTGACTCATCAGTGCTTTGTAGTTAATTTTTCCAATTATAACTATGTTATTTAATTACCAAGTTCCCACTCGACAATCAGTGTAAGTAAAAATATTATTCTAGCAAGTGCTAACATTACCTTTCAACTCGGAGTGCAACGATTGCAGTTTTCTGGCTGATCATCGATTAAAAACTTTACCTACCGATTCCGATTTTGGCCAACACCAATTTGTTTTTGTCTGACATGTTGCTCGATAGAACCAGAAAGTTGAATTGACAACAGTGGGTGACTATTGTGAATTGTAAATGTGCAGAAGTAACTTGGTGGGCTGTAAGTCAACCCTTTCTCACTGGACAGCGAAAGAGGACAGTGGTTGATTCTTAGACTTTGAATCAACCGAGCTAGATAAGATCGGTGGATAAGATTGGTTTCAGCAATCTTCAAAAGTTAAGGAAATTGGAACCGATAAATCGGTGCAGCCCGACATTCAACCAACAGCCACAGTGAGGCTCACTTTGTGCTTCTGTATCAAAGAATATTGATGCGGTTCTGTTTGTGCTGTTGACCTAAACATCAAGCACTCTAATATTTATGTGAAAATCTGTGGAAATGTTTGAGGCAGGAAGCATCCTAATATCAAAGCGCTGGACAAATTTAACTCAGGCTCGTGGAGGTTTTGGCGAGAAACGGACTGCGAGTGCTGGGCTAACCGCTGGCAGAAGCCCAGAGGGCAAACAGCCAGAGCTGATTGCAAAGTAAACACACTTTGTGCTGCAGAGGGATCAGGACAGCGTGATGGAGGAGCTGTCCAGAGTTTGGAGTCTCCTACCTGTGAGAGTTAGCTGCAGTGTGTGAAAACTGTTTCCCATCTTAAGCGTGTGTGTGTTTGTGTGTGGGTTGCATGCTCAGTGCAGTCCTGCATGTGTCATTGTGGCTGCGAGAGCTGCTCCCAGGACAGCAGTGCATTAATCACAGGTTTTATAGGGTAGCCGGGTGTGACTACATCCTGCTGGACACACACACACACACACACACACACACACACACACACACACACACACACACACACACACACACACACACACACACACACACACACACACACACACAGACGTCACATGTGGTCCTCCTGGGGAAGGACGGAGATTTGTCTTTACTTTGGAGCGATTCAGTCTGAAGGGAAGGCAGGATGTGTTTCAAGGTCATGATGGTTGCTCTCCATTTCCAATTTGCAAATTAAAACAACTCCAGTAGCTTAATGGGAAACATAAAAATATGACATATTTCACACTGCATGCCTGTGCTTGCATACAGCTGTGTGGGGATCTGCAGCGTTGAAGTGAAGAAAAGATCCTGTGTTGTGCAGGATGCCTCACCCTCACCGCTTTCTTCCAGGCCAAGGTCAATGTGAATTAATTATGGTGACAGATCGTTGATCATCTAAGTGCTCCACCTTTGCAACGGTGATGGAAACACTTTAAGACTTTCCCAGCGTCTCATTAATATTTGATCCACTTGTATTGATCTGTTCATTATAAGGAGGCTTTGGTAAATGCCTGCTATTATTGTACAAAAGGGCAAAGTTTGGTTTAATAGTGGCTGCTCTGTTGAAAACAAATGAAAAACCTGACTTTAAATAATACCACTTAGTCTTAACTGAGTGTAATTTTTACATCTTTGCATAATTTGTCAAAACTTGATTATTTATATTTTGCTGATCTGCAGTGTGTCTGAACGTTGAGCTGAGATTGATGACATTTGATTGGAGGAGAGGGGTTTGATTAACCGATGCATCATCCATGCCACAGCTGATTTTATATGTAGCCTCATCGCTCTGGTGTTTGACATCGTCTCCTTTATCACAGGTACGACCAGGCAACCCAGAGACGGGGAAACCTCAGGGGTGGACTACAACTTCGTCTCCATTGAGGAGTTTTTCTCCTTGGAAGAGACCGGAGCGCTGCTCGAGAGTGGGAAATTCAAAGGTTAGGGTAAAAAAATCTGAATTTTTCTCTACTGCAACAACATTTACACATTACAGGGATTCAGATCCAAGAAAAATGTTATTTTTGCTGAAGCCACATTTAAAAAAACGGAGCAACAATTAGCCAAAATATGGTTTAACACAAGGGGAAGATATATATTTTGCAAATTAGATTTTTTCTTTATCAAATTTGCTTGATTTCTTGTTGTATTACACTGCAAATATAAAATCTTCCCGAGTTTTTTAGGCCTACACTGCAAAGGTATCAGTATCCTAGTATTTTTGTCTAGTTTCTAGTGTAAATCATAGAAAACTTGAAATAAGACAAAACTAACTTGGAAGTAACGTTTTAGCAAGATATAGAGGCTTATTTTAAGTAAATAATACCTTATTATTGATTAAAAAGTGCTTGTTCTATTGGCAGATAGAACAAGCTCCATATCTTTCTGAAAAGTTACTTGTAAGTTAGTTTTGCTTCATCTAATATTTCGGAGATGTTTGCACTAGAAACTCGATCAAAAATACTTGGTTATATTTTGTGTTTTTGCAGTGAATAAGATAGATTTGATACTTAGCATCTACTAAATAACATAATCATATTTAAACATTTCAATTAACCCAAATAACCCTATTTCTCTATATATTGAATGTTTATTGAGTATCTGTATAAAATTACCAAATGAACACAATAACAAATGAGAGTCACAGAGTCAGCAATTGCCAGCTAATCAAAATCCATTCGTCGGCATATATTTCTGACATCAGGTGCTGCTCAGCTCATATTTCGGTTCTCCTGCGAGGGTCAGAGCACTGCCTCTGATTAAAAAACCTCCATACATTACCATCCATAATTTATGAGTTTAATGGGACCAATAAATGTCGTCCTCACCTGTATCTCATCTGACATTGACATGCACATTGCTGTCAGTGTCAGCAGTATCAGCCGGGCTGTAGCCTCCAGAAGCTGCAGTAAATGGTGACGGCTGGTGACCTTGCTGTTTAGCTCGCTAATCTAATATTTCCCCTCAACCCATTTGTATCCCTATGAGCCAAATGGGAGAAAGGTGGGGGTGGTACAGATAATGCCATTTTGTTTTTAGAGGCGGGAGCAGATGGCTATAACAAAAACAGCGTACCGTCCCAGGGGATAAATAATGTACGTGTAACACTTCTATGTTCGTCTCAGCTCCAGCAAGTTGATTTCACGACAGACACACTCAAGTTTTCTGCATTTATTCAAACAAAAGAGGAAATCAAAAAATCAGTCCAGCAGCTTTTGCCTCACAGTTAGACAGCAGCAGAAAAAGTGGCAGCTAATTGTGATCATATAGTGGTACTTAACATACATTTATATTATTAATCCACGTAACTTTGTCAGTTTCTTGTTTCTTAACCAACTTTGATTTGCAACAATAGTTGATTTGTGAAGTTTTGTCCCAAAGGGATGCACATCAGCCCGGAAATATATATTCTTACAACTGATTCATGTGCTTGTTTTAAAGCGAGGTTTCCTTGTCCTGCCCTTATTTATCACAGGGAATTACTACGGCACACCTCGTCCTGTTCACATAGGTCCAGAGAGTCCCCCCATCACCTACCAGGAACACCGTAACCTGCTCAGAAACTTCCGCACACGCAGCAAATCCCTCAGCAACCTGGAAAAGGCTGCAGACGAAGGCAGAAACAACGAGGACGACTTAGGCAAGTGTTGCAAAGCCAAATTATGCCATAAGTACCACTGTAAAGAATACAGAGGCTAATCAATTCTTCACTTTGCACAACTCGATAAGTCGCATTTTATTGTTCTGTACTCATACTTTTGAGCTCTGAAGATATTTTTGTTTGCAAAGCTCTGCAAAGTATCCAGTGTTCATCTAGCTCGAGTCTCTGATCCCCAAATTAATCAATCATTAGCACAATTAGTATGCTGAAAAGTCTCGGTGGAGCTGTGGCCCCATTGATTGTTGGATCACCTCCAAAGGAAGGTCGTTTTGTCTTAGGAGCCCTAAAACAAGCAACGACTAAGCAGATAGGCTAGAATACAAACTGTGAACCAAAGCATAAAAAACAGTGACATGGTCAGAAGTTAAACTTACTGGAATAAATTTATTAAATTCAGCTTGCCAAGAAATGAATTCAAATATATCGAGTTTTTGTCATCCAAAGAGCTCGGAGTTATTTTTCATCTGTGACAGAATCAGAAGCTGATTAATCATAAGTGTTGAAACAGATCCAGTTTTATAACTTTAGGAACAAATGGTCAACACAGAAACATTTCACTGGATGTGAAAATCCTGCTTTTAAAATGCAATGAAAGTAAAAACATGGTTAAAAGAAAGGACAACTACTAATGACTCAATAAATACCAGGGTAAAGCAGTTCTGTCGTTCCTACACTGCAGAAAGCACCAAATTTTACAAAGTATTTTAGTCTAGTTTCTTGTGCAAATATCTTATTAGACTTGAAATAAGCTTGTTTTAAGTCATTAACTTCTTAATATTGATTTAATATGTATTGACTACTAAAAACAACTTGGGAAAACAACTTTGATGTCCATCATGGGTCCTCCAATAATTAAGTGACGTAGTTGCAAACGGTCAAAACTGGATTCAAACACCAGATTATGTCTGTATGTTTGCAGGTGACAGGAGTCACCCCACTGTTGCCAGCTCTGTGATTTTCTTGGCAATATTTCAAACAAAAAATCGGAAGGTCATGTTTCTGAAAGCTCTTTAATCGGCCAGAAAACTTCATTCTGTGCACCACTAATTACAACGTTACATTTCTTGGAAATGGTCTCAAAACAACAGCAATATTATCGTTTATCACAATAACTTCTGGGACAATATATCTTCCGACAAAATTTGTTACGATGACAGGCCTAATAATGAGTCAAGAAGAGCATATAGGGTGAAGTAAACAAAAGAAGCAGCATCACAGGGAGGTGGTTTTGGCAGGGAGGGAGGGGAGGTTTGAGGCATTAAGCCAGACTGCTGCAGAAGGAGAAGGAGAGAGGGAGTTGGAGTGGGTGGAGAAAAATGCAGGCAGGCAGACGTCCAGATAATTACAAAGATAGCGTTCCAAACAGTCAGGTAGGTTCGGCTGGCAGTCGGGACCAGTGGGGGTGAATGCCGGACGGAGTCTGAAGAGAGAGTCGTCCAACACTCTGACCTCTGCTGAGTCATCTTTTCAAGTGTAACTTAGTGGGTGGATTGCTCGGCGGTACTTGTCATGTGCAGCAGGACTCTGGGTGGCCCCAGTGTCCGAGATCTCACCGATCTGTGTTGGAGCTGAAAGCTGAAGGACAAGCTACAAGGACAGTTAAGGGGGACAAAAAATGCTGATTTTCATTCTGCTTGTTGTGTGACATGCATGGCCACACAGTCTTACTCCTCAGTGGGTGGACAGAAGTGGCAGAGATGCTGACTCTCCATGAGTTGTCAGAACAAACATCAGTACATTTTGCTTGCAGAGAAACTTTTTTGTTGTTGTTGGATATGTAAATGTTAGCGTTTTAGCTTTTATCATTATGATTACAGGTGGTTCTGCAGGAGTAAGCATTCCTATTGGCCACCGCTCCCCTGGTCGGCCCCGGGCATCCAGCAGCGGAGGCGAGGGTCAAGACGTAGAGAATGGGATCGTCGGCAGCAGAAGAGGTGCCAGAATCAGAGGCATGATGCCCGATCACTGGGAGCAGGCGTTCAGTGACCCTGGAGAATCACTTTACATCGGGTAAGTGTTCACCAAACGACCTGGCAAAGGAAAAGCCTAACAAATATTTATTTATTTCACCTAAGGAATGAGACTAAAAGAGGCTTAGTTTGGACTAAAGACTGTAAAGAACAGCATTTTAATGACTATTGCTGTCTAAGTTGAAAGGTTATTTCTTATATTTTCTGAATTTATTCTAATTTTACAGAAATCTTACCAAATGTTTTAGGTCCAATTTCTAGTATAAATATCTTAATGCATTTTAAATAAGGCTTACTAACTTACTAGTAAGTTTTCAGGAAGAAATTGGTGAAAAACTACTAGTTCCACTTTTAACATGGGAAAAGTGAAATACTGGAACTATTACTTTTTCCTCAATATCGTTTTATTGACTTAAAACAAGCTCCTATATCTTCCTTAAAAATTACATTTGTCTATTTCAAGATATTTGTACAAAAAACTTGACCAAAAATACTTAAGATTTTATGTTTATGAGGTGTAGCAGATAATTTACAAATTGAGACATGAGGTGGTAACGGTGCAAATAAATGACTGTATCATTGTGTTTTTGTGGTGTAACATTAAAACCTAAAAGATGATTTTCTGTTGCAAGTTGAAGCATTTTAAATATTCTCAGAATTTCCCCTGATTGTTCTTCCTCATGCGTTTTTTCTCTAGAGGTATTTTTTATTGGATTTGGATGTGAAGGAAACAGATTAAAACTGAAGGAGGCAGATTTTTCATCTTATCATCCCTTTCTTCCTGCATAAAGACCATTTTGCAATTAATAAAGAAATTCAAAAAAGTTTTTATATCAAATTTGATGGCACTTTGAAGATATTGTGATGCTTAGGCCTCTAAAAGGGCCCACAGCATCACAGGTCTTCCTCTCTACCTAAGAGTAAACATGAAGGCATATTAGTCTTTTGTTTTAGATCTATCTCTCATACAATATTTTTTTACTTGAACAATTCACACAGTGTAAATGTGTCACCTTTTTTATTTATTAGAACTAAATTTAGTTTTATTCCAGTTTTAGCTGAAATTTAAATAAAATTTACTGTCACTGAATTAAAATGTTGCAGCAGAAGGGATTTTTGGGATCAACAGACGTTTCAAAAGATCTCAAGTCTTTTTGGCTAAATTCACAAGTTATATTTTTGTGTGATAATTTCATCAAACCTAAGTTGTTATTTTGTCCTGCAGAATAAATAAGTAAATTATTGGGGTTTATTTTTTTTTCAAGGACAGAAACTCAGAAGGTGAACAATAGATTAGCTAACAAACCCAAATATAAACAACTATTATTGAATAGTCAAATAACACAAATACATCAGAACTAATAAAACTAGAGAGTATGTGATCACAGATTTCACATCTCAAAATACTAAAAATGTTGGACTATGAAAATCTAACTTAAATCTCTCAACACAGAGATGGTAATGCAATGCTAACATAATGCTAACATAACAGGATTAATAATGGAACGATGTGGAAAACCACTGAATTAACATGGCCTCCAGTAGTGAACACAGTATTTAGCATGCTATGCAGAAATGTTACATCACAGTTTTTTAAATAAAGTCTTGTGTATTTTTAAATATATTGTATACATGAATAGCCACCCATTTGTTTTTAAAACACACTGCGGCTGCTTTCTTATCACGCTCTCCCTTGTTTTAATAATTTACCAACAAAAGTGAATGCTTAATCCTAACCTTGAACCAAAATAATCAAATTTTACTCAAATATTAACATTCACACCTTTCATCTCTTCAAATTTGTTATAAATGCAATTTGTTTTCCAAATTAATAGCGAATCCTCTGTAAGTTTGTTCCGACCACTTTCACACACACACTTGCACACGTCCTGTTGTCTTCCTGGTCATTAGAAACACAGCATCCTTCCTCTCTTCTGGTGCCTTGTGCATGCAGCCGGGTTGATAACCATGGACCATTTGGCTGATCCAATGGAGCCTTGGGTGAATCACGAAGGAAAAGGGAGTGGCTGCATATTAGTGTCTTTTTTTCTCTCAGAAATTCTTAAAACCAAGTAAGTTCAAGTAGTTAATATTTAGATGTTTTTTCCCCATTAGCATTTTAGCCAGCTGTTAGCTAGAAGTAGTGTTATTGTCTTTGATTATTGTCTTACCTTGAATCGAGTTAGTTTTGTTTTGGTTTAGCAGCACTAATGTAGAATAGAAACGCATGATTTCAATTATTATAAAATCAGAACACAGATGCATTTGGAATGTAAAAAAACGTAAAACATTATCTAAAATTATCGTATCTTTAGGGGTCTAAGAAGGAAATTATTTTGTTTTTTTATTTAAAGTTTCCCATGAATTGCTGGAGTATTATTCACTGTAGTTCCACGGAGTGAAATATAGTCAATGATACAATGAAAAACCACAATAATTATATTGTAATTTTGCTAGCTGATATCTCTGTTTGCTAAAGTTTTGAGTAGGATAGTTAAACTTAAGGACCTGTTTGTTGATTCTGGTGAAAATGGGTTCTGTTGTCCTCCCCACATGGTACCGGATTATAATTTTCTAGGAGAATTATCATCAATGCAACAAGTTTCCCATATTATCAGTCAAATAATATGCCAATAGAACCAGTATATTTTTATGCATATTAAGGAATTATTTACTTGTAATAAACTCCATCTTGCTGCAAGTTAATTTTTGTTTTATTACAGCAGTACAAATATATTTGCGCTATAAACTAGACCAAAAATACGTTTTGCAGCAACAGCAATAAGATACAAAATGTAGTTTGCATAAATAGACAGATTTTATAACAAGAATCTCATATTCTTACATGTCTGTCTTTGGGTGTTATTTTCTTTATTTTATTTTATTTTTTTCAGTACATGGCCTTTAACCCCAAGTTTCCTACCGATTCATATATTTGAGTGTTTGTGGTTCTGTGAGTGCGATTGGATGAATGTTCCTCCTCTTGCCCAATAAGTGCTAGAGAGTGGCATCAACTCACTCACTCACTCTTTGGTTACCTAGCAGCCCACTCACTCTTTGGTTACCTAGCAGCCCACTCGCTGTTTGGTTACCTAGCAACAACCTGTGGAGTAATTGCCACGGCAACAGTTTGAAGTGCCGCCACTTTCTCTCCTCACAACTCCTTAAAAAAAACTAAATTGTGGAGTGAAAACTGTGGATGAAACAGAAAAGGTGACATCAGTAGCTTGGCAGTATTTCAGGTGTTTAAAACCGAAAAACTAATTAATATTTATCAGTATCAATCGATATTGAAACATTTATATCGTGATACTTTTTCCAACCGTTCCTTGTCTTCCAACCGTTCCTTGTCTTTGACTTGAATTCAAAAATACTTTATTTATCCCAGTTGCAAATTAAATATTGTTTTAACTCATATTAATTAAAATTCATTGTGCAATTTTTGTCATTTCATAATCACAATTTGACTAAGATTGTTGGCTCTTCTTCTGCCCGTTTTTCCACCCAAGGCGCAGCCCGAGGAGGACCAGCTGGCTGGGCCCTCGTCCCTCAAGCAGAGAGACCAACTACAAAAATGAATGTGAGCGTCTTTGTTTCTTCTTTGTTTTCCTTTCCTGCCCCTTCTCTCACCATGCAATTATCAGCACACGATCAACATATTTAACAGTCGAACATGCTAAATGAGGCCACAAATTTGTCATGCACAGAAGCCGCAGACACAGCAGGCTTGTTAGAGTCAAATGAGATAGAATGAGCTTTTGGCCGAACAGTGGCATGTAAGTGATTAACGCCTAAAGCTCTGAGTTGCTGGAGGGCAGCCAGACATGCTGCACAGGCTGGCAGGGTCAACATGGGGAGAACATGTGACTGGCATCCATGTAATCTGCCCATTTCAAACAAAAATGTAATTCATGACGTCTATCTGTGATCACAGCAACAGTAAAAAAGGGACAGATTCAAATGCATTGCTTTGTTCCATCTGCTCAGTCAGGTGTAATGCCCTTTCTTTACCAGCAGAAGGCAATATTGCATTCATTTTGATCTGCGGGATTTTGATGATTTTTATTATCTGTTGCTCTAATATCACAGAGGTCTAGATGAAGACAAGACATGCTCACATTATAAGAGATGAAATAGAGGAATATGATTAATCTAAAACACATTTTGCAGATTTTTCTGATGTGATGTAATATTTAAAAATAAATAACAAAATGACCTACATGACTCTGCAGAGCTTCGTGAAGCAAATGGATTATGTTGCCAAATTTAACTTAGCAGAGAGTCAGTAATGGATTCTGCTTTTAAAGCAATCTCTCCACCATATGCTTTGGGTTGTGTAGCATTTCGTTAAAAGCCATCTGGCGATTGGTTCGTACTGTTAAACTCCTTTTTCCCTCCCTACTAAAACCCGCCACTTCCAAGCATTTAGTTGTGTATGAAAAACCTTGGACTGTTTCCACTTTTTTGTCTCCTGTCTGGTGTGCTTTTCTCATTAATCAATCTTCTGCCTCTTTTTTGTGTTTTTCTCTTTACTTTGTTCATCATCAGGGTTCACGGACCTGCCTGAGGATCTCAGGGGTTTCCCTGTCCATGCACACTTGATCAAGGGCTCCAGAGGGTTTGGTTTCAACATAGTCGGAGGAAGCCGACCAAGAGAGTTTCTCCAGGTCTACAGTGTGACGGCAAGTGGCCCCTCCACTCTAAAGACAGGTAAAAACTTTAAAAATTAAAATAATCTTATCTATTTAGTCCTGGGTTCCAAATTGTATTGATTTCAGTCACTGTAAAAGAGATTGTTGCTTCTATTTGTAGAAAAATTTTGACCTGTTTACCACTGAGATCTACAAAAAGCTGCCATCAATTTGAATCCCAGCATGTTCAGTTACAGAAAGACGTAGAGAGCCGAAAAAGAAAAAAACAAAATCATCTTTGCAATACATCTTCCCGGCAAATCTTGATCTCTCTCACTCTTTTACAGCCTGTACAAACTGTAGGCTTACAGTTTGTCATAGTTTGTCAACCTGTCATAGAAAATACAGTTTTCTTTAATTTTCTGGATTTTTTATAATAACACCTCAGTGAATTTGAACATGGCTAACTTTGAGAGGTTTTTTTAGTCTGTAACATCATCCACACTGAAGAGTGTTGTCAGCATGAACCAGCGGTATTTGAGAAATATTATTTGTTTTCTGAAAGCTATTGAATTGGCCTATCTGCAGACTGTAGCTATTATTACTTAAGTCATGGAAAAGTTTTGGTGTATTTGAAGTAACAGCAGGGCAGGACGACATGCTTGAAAATCACGATATTAGGATTTCATATCAGTCGATATGGATAATTATAATTTAGTTTTGTGTTGAAATATGTGAAATATTACCTGTTTTATCTACAAACCCTTTTTGAGATGTTCTAGTCATTTTTTCCTTTCACTCCACGCCGTTAGTTCTTATTCTTCAGCAGTTTTGAGGCACGATAGCAAAACCTTAAACTGCTGCTGCACACGCTAGGCAAGAGGTCATTGCTAGGTAACCAGAGCGCAGTGAGTGATACTTTGCTTAGCTGATATTGAGCAGCTAAAGTTTTCCTTCTGCCTACATCCCCCAGAATGCTGTGCGGTTCTGGATTCATTGAAATTAATTATACATTTCATGAAACGTATTTTCAGTTGATATGCGTCAGTCTGTAATTAAAGTGTTTGTACATCTTTTCCTCACCTGCATCTTTATTTTTTACATACAAAAAGAAAGTGTAGATAAAACCCTTTAATCCTGGTGGCTAGTAATCCATAATCTTGCTATCATAACACTTGCAAATACAGTGGCGCACATCCTGTTTACAGACTGTCACGCAAATTCTCACAGAGGCAGCTATTACCGCTCCAGGAGGCCAGAGCACAGGCTGATCTAGTTCATATCTGTTAAATAGGCTGGTTTAGGCAGATTACTTTTTCGGATTAGTCTGCAACCGCACAGATGAATTTTATAAGCAAACACAGAGACGCGGACGAATGTCTCTGCACTTTGCATGTTCGATGTTGGGCGTAACTTGGCTGTTGATTATTGATTCATTTGAAAAACAACATAGAGCTGTACACAAGACGACAGTATGGACAAACAGATGAGATCCTTAATGCAGGCATCCAACAATGGAAGTCTGCATCTGGAACAGTTAGTTTGGTTTTATGTCAAAAATTTCCAAAATGCGATGGATCCTGGAGTCAAGCCCGGAAGTTTAGCCTGAATGGTTCTGGATGGTTTCCTTGGTTCTAGTTTTACCGTCTCATTAGTTCTCAGGTAAATGGGCGCAGCGTTTCCTCCTGTATTCGTCTCTTAGCAGAGAGCCGACTGTCCCATGAACCTGAAACTTTTCAGCAATGAAACTGCTTGGAGATTTTATTGTCACCTTTCAACATTTTAGTTCCTTTGAAATAAACTGAATGTCTGATGAAAGACTTAAAGACACCAAAGTAAAACATTTAAAACGTGACTATTACACTACTATTAGCTGTCTTTCTAGGCTAACCATGAATGAGTTCATGCTGTTTTTAGGATATATTTCAAAGATAAACAGTTTAGTCCTTTTCACAATTTTATTTGTTTACTCTTATACCTACAAAAGACCAGAGTGGACAGTAACTAGTTACATTTACATCATTAACTTCTTGGAAAACAATTTCAGGAGTATTATTACTGTGCTGTACTTCTTACTTTTACTTGAGTACTTTTATCATGAAGTAAAATGTTTGGATACTGACTCACCAGACATGCACCTGCATTTTTTGTTAGTTTGATAAGTTTTATAGAAAGAAATTAATTTTGAAAATATTTTAGATTGCCTGATGTTATTTTGCAATTATATTATTAATCTGAATAATTTTCTCAAAATACCAACTTTCCACATAATTCTTCATAATGTTCTATCTGATTATGTAATTTTTAAATGATTGATATTTGGATCAGTTACTCAGTAAAAGAATACCCTTTTTACAAAATACTTTTACTCAAGTATTTTATTCGCATGGGTGGCTAATTTCTTCCTTTTACTAAAGTGAAAATATGTTGAAGTAGTGCTACTCTTACTTGAGTGTAATTTTTGGGTCTTCTACCCAACTCTGTAAAGGACATGATGGTATGCTTTACACATAAAACCTTTAGAAGACAGAGCAACAATGACATTTCAAAATTTTCACTAAATATTACATTAAAAAAATTGTCTGTTGCATATTAAAATGTGTTGTTTTTTTTTACTTCACCAGCGGACATACTCGTGTACATCAACGATGCTTGTGTGTTGGGAATGTCTCACAAAGAGGCGGTAGAGATGCTCAAATCAGTGCCTGTGGGCCACAGCATAGACATAGAGGTGAGAAGGGGGTATCCGATGCTCTACAACCCGGACGGCCGCCCCAAGCAGCCGTCACCGAGGTACCTGGACGCTGAGGACCACCATGTCACGCCTACCACCACCCAACCACAACCTCTTCACCAGCTACCTCGCCTTTCAACACCTTCACCACAGAGCCAGCTCTTTAACGGCTACCACAGCGACAGAGGCTACGTGGAGCACGGCGTGACCCTCGATGCCAATGGAAACGCCACATCGTACGCATCCAGACTGCCTCCGCCGTACAGACGCTCCAGTGTGAGCAACGCTGCGCCCTTCTCCCCAGTTCGGCCACCACGGTCACACAGGAGCTTAGTCAGGCTGCAGTCGCTGGATCCGACGCTAGCCAGCCAGAGCGACAGTGAGGTTGTTTCTGCGGTTGGTTCACACAGGTAAGAACCCGAACTTCACCTTTTCCAGGGGTAGGCAACTCCAGGCCTCGAGAGCCGGTCTCCTGCAACTTTTAGATGTCTCCCTAGTCCAACACAGCTGATTCAAATAGCTCAATCACCTCCTAAATGCAGTCAGGTTCTCCAGAGTACTGCTAATGACCCCATTACTTGACTCAGGTGTGTTGAAGTAGAAACACATCTAAACGTTGCAGGAGACCGGCTCTCGAGGCCTGGAGTTGCTCACCCCTGACCTTTGCAGACGCAGAGATTACACTTTAACTGCAAAATTGTATCTAATTTAAGTTAGTAAGTTGACTTAAATCAGTTTGAGTAAGTTGCTTGGTATTTCCAACTCTCTCTACTCGAGTTGATTAATTTTGAAAAAGTAAGTTTTTGATGATGGTGTGTTTGGCTCAAGACTTCATGTATGCAAACACAAATGCTTTACTTGAGTTTTTTTTATATTCAGGAGGCAGTAATTTATCTGACTCATAATAAAGAGATAATCGCAGTGTTATCATGAACTAAGCTAGGCCAATTTCAACTAATTTAGGAGTAAAGCACAACCCACTTATGGAGGTCTTAGTCACAGGTTTGAGTCCCAGACTGATGACCTTTGCTTGCTGCGTGTCTTCCTCCTTTCTCATTACACACCTTCCTGTCTGTCCTTTCTCAAATAAAGGCCACCAGAGCCAATAAAACCTTAATAAAAAGAATTGGGTGAAAGAAGAAGGTCAAGGACTCAATTAAAAACTAATTTATTGTAAGTTATATGAACAGTTATTTTTTGTGAGTTGTGCTACCTGATTTAGAACTGCTTACTGCATTTATTTGACTATGAGTTTGCACGTGTTTTTTAAGCAAGGTGTAGTTCAGTGATGACTTTGCCTTCGTCTCTTTCTCCTCAGGGCGTCAATGATTCGAAATCACAATAATAACTCCCTTACGACACCGCAGCATCATTTACGTTACGGAACGTCGAAGTCGTCGGAAAGCGACTTATCCACCTGCACCATGCCGGGGACCAGGCTGCCGCTCCCCGAGTCGCCGCGGAGGCCGTCGTCTTCCTCCGGCGGGCTCCGCGGCGCTCACTCCCACCTCTTCAGACCGCAGACCTCCCATCTCAGACCGCCGCCCACCAGGGAAAGCCCCCACCACCATGGCGTCAATGGTTTCCACACCAGCCCCACTGCCAGCCCCAGCAGCGTTTCCTCTCCCGGCGCGATGAGCGTGGGCAGCGGGTTCGGGGGATTCACCGGAGGGGAACTTGTTCCAGTGGCCTTGGCGCAAACCGAAGGAGGCCGGGGCCTCGGGTTCAGCCTGATGGCTGGTGGTTCTGGAGGCAGGTCGACCATGGTGGAGAGAGTCTTTGACAGAAAGCAGTGCAACTCCCTGCAGCCAGGGGACGCTGTTGTCAAGATCAATGGAGCTGACGTCCAGAGTCTCAGCCTCATGCAGGTAATAAATACAGTCAACCTACATTGTTTTACCAAGGGCTGGACAATTTGGCTGAAAATGTGTCGTTACATCAGGATTGCATGTCAGTCGATAGTAATAATGATCCAGTTTCTGCTTTAAAGATCTGAAATTCTGCTAATCTGGTGGTGTGACCACAGTTCTAACTGAGTTAGTTGATTCCGTCACACTGGAAAAAACACAAAATACAGCATTTCAATCTAGTTTCTAGTTGAAATAAGACAAAACTAACTTACAAGTAACTTGTCAACAAGAAGTAGGATCTTGTTTTAAGTCAATAATTCTATAATATTCATGAAAAAGTGCCAGCTCCCCTGGCAGATTAATTCACCTTTATCATGGAAAAAATGTCTTGTTATAAGTTAAATAAACTTATTGACTCCAAAAAAATAACCCCAACTTTTTCTTTTTTTATAGATTCAAACAATCCTGCAGGAACACACAAAACAGGGAGAAGTTATTCTGCTGGTTCACAGAGGAGGTAAAATACTCTCAACCTGTTTGGAGTCAGTCGCTGTTTCCATTACAAATGTGATCAAAAGTTTCTCATTACACCGCCAGCGACAAAAAAAAAACACTATTTTGCTTTCAGACTTCAAAATTCATTTTATTTGTTGTTTTGTTTATTTATTTTGGATATTTAAAATGTCTTTGAGTTCCAGTGTGAAATGATCATTAGAATTTGAAGTTTATTGATCTTTGTGTTCTTGTGTTATTATTTGTGGCCCTTGGATTAATTTTGGGACTGCAATTCAAGAATGGGACAAATTTGGCCTTGCAGCATTTTTTGTTAGGATTATATTTTCAATGGCAAGTTTATATCTTAAATGTACAACACAAATAATTTTTCTTGAGTTAGTCTTTTTAAAATTATTATTGTGTGATTAACATCCAGCATGTTTTCACTGAAAAACAGACTTTGGCACACCCATGTTTTACATTTGGCTAAATACAGCAAAAGTTGTAAAAGATTAAAGTAAATAAATTTTGTAGACTTGAAAATTTTTAAAATAATTGGTGCAAGCAGTTATATAACTATAAACATTAAGGTAAAAAATATTCAGAATTTTTCTCTTAAATAAATACATTTTATAACATTTATATTAATATGTTAAATTATTAAATATTTGATAAAATGTTAACTTTTTTATTTATTGTTGTTCAGGTAAAAGAGAAACAATTCCCCAATTTTTTTTTTTTCGTTTTTATTTGGTGGGGAAAATTATAATTTTGGCCTCTGAATATTTTCAGCCTGGGGATTTTGGCCCTTGGCTCAGAAAGTTTGGACACCCCTGGTTTATCACAATTGAACAAAACGGCCTAATTGTGAAATTATCCGTTGGTGGGAACTCAGCTACTAACTTCGTACCGTCTAACGCTCGGTGTTTATATCCGATTTCTTTTCTCTCGTCGTTTTAGGCACCCATCACTCATCGGTTTCTCCAGGCTCGGTTCGGAGACTCCCTCCACCGCTACTGCGCCCCCCTCCTCCTCCCGTTGACGCGGACAATTCGTCGTTGCTCCCAGAGGCGCTGCCCGTTCCCCGCACCGCCACCAGCAACCCTCCCTCCCCGCTCCTCACCAGCTCCTCTCTGATCCAGAGCACCAGTTTCCTGGAGTCGATTCCAGTGACCCTGACCATGGAGCCCAAAGACTGGATCGACATCGGCCTGGAAGACGAGGCCGGCGGCGGCGGCGGTGTGTCTGTGCCTGACGCGAGCCTGGAGAAGCGGAAGGGCGAGCGGACGCGCCGCTTCAGAGGGTTCGACGTGGAACTGAGGCGAAAGCCCGGGGAGGGATTCGGGTTTGTGATTGCCTCTCAGGACTTGGAGAACGGAAGAGGTAAGAGCTAGCATCACCACTTCGGTGCACTAAAATATCAGAAGTGGAGGACTTCTGAAAAGCATTAGCAGTTGGTTACCTGCCCAAAGCAGTGGGTTTTATTTGGATGCCCTTGTGCAAAGAAGCACCATTAGGTAATTGCACATTAAAATTGCTTGGCATGGCCACAAGCCACTGAATGAGTCACAAAGCCTCATCTACATTTTCCTGGTACATTTGTTCACCTTGCAATTTCAAAGAATTAGTTTTGCATTCAGTCTTTCAGGTTGGTTTATTGTGAAGTTCTTTTGAAATCTCCTGGTTCTGGTTGTTTAAAACAGAACTTTGTTCGACCTCTTCTGTATTTACCGTCGTTGTCTGGTGCTTTTGAGCTCACGGCTCTTTGCTAGAGAGTTCAGGTCCTTCAAGCTCTGGAGCATTGAGAGCTAATTGGACCCCAAAGAGCTCCAGTGAAGGACTGGTCACTCTGCTACTCTGCAGAAACACAAAATATTACCAAGTATTTTTGTGTAAATATCTTGGTGCACTTGAAATAAGACAGAACTAACTTTAAGTAACTTTCATTGAGATTTAGGAGCTTGTTTTAAGAAAACAATTTCTTAACATTGATCTAAAATGTTACTAGATCTACTGGCATAACATGGGAAAGTGCTTTGTTATCAATAAAATAATCTGCCAGTGGAGCTAGTACTTTTAAAACAATAAAAAGGAAACATTAGCTTAAAACAAGCACTTCTGTTTTGCTGAAAAGTTACTTATAAGTTTAGTCTTGCCTTAAATCAAGTGTACTAAGATATTTACACTAAAAACTAGACCAAAAATCCTTGGTAAGATTTGGGGTTTTTGCAGTGAAGAGATACAAATTCTTTAACCCTCCTGTTGTCCTCGGCTCATGTCGACCGAGGACAAGCCCTTAAAAAATATGTTTTTCAATTGCAGCTGCATACAGAAACTTCAATCTAACAGTCCTGCATCAGAACTATGGTGTGCACAACTCAGGGGGAAGTTTAGGCTCAAGCAATCCAAATGTGAACTTTACAAAAGAAATAAAGATAACCAAACCCAGGCCTCAGGTCAGACTGACCGGAAGACTAAGGAAATCACAGCTGGACAGGCAAACAGTATGGAATGGCATCATTGATCTCCGTAAAACTGATATCTTTTCAAATTTCCCCCCTTCCTGTTGCCCTCGGGTTGACATGACCCGAGGACAAGCCCTTATAAAACATTTTTTTAATTGCAACTGCATACAGAAACTTGAAATCTAACAGTCCTGAATCAGACCTACAGTGTTCACAACTCAGATGGAATTTTCTGCTGGAGCAATTCAAATGTGAACTTGACGAAAAAAATAAGAACAACCTCCTCTTGTCTTCGGGTCAAAATGACCCGAAGACAAGAGGAGGGTTAAGTCTGTTTGTTTTTAACAGAATAAGAGGCGTCCAGAAATTAATGGATTTGTTTTTCATAAATGTTTTAATCCACAATCATAACTGTTTCCTGCAGAACATTTTTGTTTGTTGGCTTGTTTTCTGTTGCCACAGAGTGTTGAGGTTTATTTATGTCCTCTCTGGGAAGAGAGCTGCTCTTATCGCCTCTCAGTTTGGTGTTTATTGCATCTACAGCAGGTGAAACGCAGCATCCCCAACGATGCATAAGCCTCTGCTCCTCTCTGGGATGCAGATAAAACTGCTTTATGGTCGAACACAAACACGTGTGTGTTTTCACGCCGATAAACCCCCATGTCGTCTTATCTTGTCAAGAAGTCCCCTCCATCCCCGTCTCTCTCTCTTTCTTTCTTTTTTCCGACTGTCCCGTCTTTCTCTCCCTCTCTGCCGCACGTCTCATAAGCTCCCGCCCACTCTCCGTCTCTCACCCCTCTTTTCACTCTGCAGTAAAAGCGTCCAGTCTGGTTTTCAGGAGATTAAAACTCTCCCCCTCCCTCGTACCTCTCTGCTCTCTCCACCACCTCTCTGAAAGCTTCAGGGAAATGCTGAACATTTCCCTCGCTACAGAGCAACAGAGGGGGAACAGCCAGCCTGTGTTTTAGCTCCTGTTGCAAGTGAAGCCTTCAGGCTGCTGGACTTGGAATAAAGGACTTTTTTTTGTTTTTTTGCTGTTGTTTTCTTTCTTTTCCTTTTTCTTTTTGTTGCATTAGCTAATCAAAGAGCCATGCTGGAGAGACTACAGTCTGCTTTGAAAACTGTAAAGGAGTCCAAACGTAAATATCTTTAATCACTTCATGCTTGCATGTCCTGAAGTTTGCTTGTGTGAAAGTTGGTCACATGTCTCAGATGCTGCTGCTGCTGCTGTGGTTGCAGAAGTGGACTTTTGCATGTTATGATCATCTGTAATTTTTGAGCTGTCAGAAAGACGAGTAGAGAGAATTTTAGCTGCGTTTTGAGGAGAACCTGCCGACGCTCTGTGCCAACTACGTCCGCATCTGAGCTGCAGAGGGGATGACAGAGAACGGGGGGCTGTTACCTTTCATGAATGGTGGCTGCAGGACGTACCGCAGTGGGATTACGGTAGACACAGAGAGCCACGAGGGAAAGACCCCACAGGATAAAAAAAAACAGTCTGTGCATTCGCATGCAGCTGTGCCTGTTTTTCCACATCTGTGACCAAATGTGTCCGTCCCGGTCTCCGGGCATGTGTGTGTCTGCACAATGGTGCCGTGTGCGTGTTTATTCATCTGTTTGCTGATGTATTATGCATGATAAGAAGACTATGTCCAAAGCTGCCTTGGCTTTGATCTGACCTGATTGCCGTTTCTGCCTGGGTCACCCAGATTATGTCCAGATTGGAGATGTTTCTGGGCTCTGAGTCGCCTTTTAACCGAATCATCGTCCCTGTCTGACATGCACTTCATCTCCTTTGGCATATTCTTCTCCCCCTCGTTACAGGTTAAATCTGTTGATAAGCATTTTAACTTTAAATCAAACGTGCTGTTTTTATCCAGAGAGCGATGAGGGTTTTTGGTATTAAATGAAAAATGTTTATTCTGGGTTACGTAAGGCCACTGGCAGGACTCTGGAGGGGCCAGCTGTCACCAAAACGCAGCTTGCTCTCAACGCAGGGACGGGGGTGGAGGGGCCAGCAAATAAAAACCCAGAAGATTCACATCTGAGCAGAGAAAATCTGTGAGGAGCTTCTTATCTGCTGAAGGAGATTATTGTAGGAACATTTAAATCTCGGCTGCTCCGTATTTTTTCCTCATCAAACTCGTACGCTGGTCAGCATTGAGCTTAAATCTCATCACACAGGATAAGACGAAGTGAGGAGGCTAACCGTTTCTGTTTTTATTACACTTTTATTTATTAATCTACTTTATTTATTGCAGCTCGTGACGATGAGCCAAGGCTCAGAGTGGAAGATTGCCAACATTGTTTCCCAGATACAGCAAAGGAAAAAGTATTTAAATAGAACACGTGTGTCAAACTCAAGGCCCGAGGGCCAAATCCGGCCCACTGGTGCTTTTATGTGGCCTTAAAGATAATAGTTGTGTGTTGTAAAATTATTTTATCATTTGTATACTGCCAAATTACAGCAACCAAGTAAAACATGACTAAACATATAAGTAGAAGATGAAAAAAAAGAGAGAAAAATCTCAAACAGGTGAAGCAGGAAGTAAATAAACTGAACTTTACAAGGAGAAATGGATTATAAAAATGAATATCAGTCAACTGATGGAAACAACGGATGTTTAGAGGATTCAAATAGAGACCGTATGAATGAATGAATCAACACTAGGCGTGCAAAACAGAAAAATGTTTCCCGTAAATGTACAAAAACTTTATGTTTAAATAAATTTTAACAGATGCAAAGTACAACTTCAATAAGTTTGAACCACAAATTTTCCTTAAAGACAAGTCGCAGAACTTGGAAATCAGTTTGAGAACTATGGATCAGTTACATCTTCAGTGCAGAAGACATTTCTTCTGCATTATGACGCTAAAGCTAATAGCTACCCTCTTCAATCAGCTCCAATTTCCAGCAACTCCTAAATTTCCCCACTCTGAATCAACAAATTATATCTATAATTTCTCCTAAAATCTTTTGGCTTCATAACTGTTGATGTGAATAATTTTTAAGTTGTTTTTTTAAGAGTTAAATCAGGCGGAGATTTGCAAAGAGTCCAATAATTATCCAGACAGGAAGTAGCGTCATCAGTGATCTTCCTGAAAACAGCATTCAAGTAGCATTATATAATAATATGCTTCATTTTAATAAGACAGACAAAAAGCTTTACATGTTCCACTTCCTGTTTCACTTCAGAAACGACTGGATTTCCATTTCTACCTCCATTATCAATGTAAATAAACATACATCTAATTCAAACAGACCAGTGTGTAAAGAATAACTGGATAACTAGCCACAGCATTATTTATACTGATGTTGGTTTCAGGAAGATGTTAACTAAATCCTCCTGAGTCATTTAGTCGGGATTTATACTAAATAAAGATGTTAAGAGAGTTACCTACTGCAGGGTAGTTATAATCTGATGTATGTTTTATAACAGAACCTCTCTACAAGAGCAAAAAACCTGAACTATCCCCTTAAATGCTTGCTGAGAAAAATAAATGTTGCAGTGTATTTCTTTCAGACATGAGTGGCATACTAATGGAGACAACCTGCAAGTTTGCAGAACAGCAGAAAATTACTGACGTAGTATAAATATTAAGCATAAAAATCCAAAATGTGACGTTGCGAGACAGATTTAGGACAGAACAATCAGTTCTGGCCTGAAGGCTTCTGGTCATGACTCCTTGTTCTGGAGGTAAAAGACGAATCAATAGAGGGGGGAAAATGTTGCTGGCGCGCCAGAAAAAGATGAATTAGGATGAAACAAAGGAGGAATGTTTCAAGGAGACAAAGAGGGTTGAAAAAACTCCCACTGCAAGTAATTTATGGGATTAACCCAGCCAAAAAGCAAGCTGAAGCTTAATTGCAGCTTGTTTTAGCAAATCTAGAATGCTCTGTGTTGGGATAAATCTTCCTGCTCCTAAACAGAATCGATAATAAAAAATTAAAGCGCTTTTATGCTAGTTAAGGTTGTATCACTTTAAAGATGACCTTTTATGTTTCCTTGAGGAGGTTAAGGTAGGTTTATGGACTGCACAAAACATTTTCATTACGTTTTTTTTGGCTCAAGATCATTATTAGAAAATTAGATTTCAGTCTGTTCAGTTCTGCACATTTTGAGCTCCTTTCAGATCAAGCATAATGCATCTTTGATAAGCATTAGTAGAACTTCCTGCACAACCAACAAGAGTGCAGCAAATGGTTTCTGAGTGGTAAGTGAACGACTAGGGCTCTCAACGTTAATAATCTAAAACACCTTAATATAACATAAGTTTGCACTAACTATAGCTACTTAGTGCATTGGTGAATTCCATCGAATCACAACCAGCTTATAGTCAACATCTCTAAATTACATTGGAATAAAATTACTTCTTTTAAACCTTCCAGAATATGAAACAATAAAACATTTTCTTAAACACATTTTGAAAATGGTGTAATTAAAACAAAAAACATTTTTTAATCAGTTGACACCACCATCAACAACAAAACACTTGTCTTTTCCAGCAGCCATTGTACAACACAAACAGCAGTAAAACCAGCTATTAATTTTCTAGACACCAAAAAACAGTAAAGTGGTTTTAATTGGACTGGTTTTAGAAGCAGTTGAGACCCAAGTACAAAAAAGTGCAAAATGTGAATTTTACACAGTAGGTCCCCTTTAAATATGAAATAAAATTGTATATATACCTTTTAGATTGGTCTGACTGATGGATTTTTGTTCTTTCAGCCGCGTCCCTCCTTCCTCACCGCTTCGTCACGGTCCGGCGCGGCAGCCCGGCAGCGAAGAGCGGCCAGATCCGGCCCGGAGATCGCTTGGAGGCCGTGGAGGGCCGCTCGGTGGTGACGCTGCCTCACCGAGAGCTCGCCCAGATTCTTCGCAGAGCCGGAAACACGCTGCGCCTGACCATCGTGCCCCGGCCCAGCACCTGTAAGCAAACACAACACAGAGCCAACCAGCCTGGCTCTCGGTCAAACATTCTAACCAAAACGTTCATCCACCTCAGACGCTTCAAACCACACAGAAACCGCCGACCACGACCATGGTCACAGGAGCAGAAAAGGTCAGAGGTCACGCCCAAAGGTAAGGATATGCTTCTCCTAAAGGCTTGTGTGCTTCCAGAAACGGGAGTGATCATTGTTGCCTTTCTCCCTCCCTCCAGCGCGACTCCAGGTATTACAGCGTCGACCTGGACCGCGGGCCGTCAGGCTTCGGCTTCAGCCTCCGAGGCGGGAGCGAGTACAACATGGGCCTCTACGTCCTCGGGCTGATGGAGGGCGGCCCGGCGTCACGCAGCCAAAAAATACAGGTGTCGTCAAACTTTAGACAATCCAACTTTAATTTGAGCAAATTTATTCAACAGGTAAAAGTACCTTTACTCAGAAATGCAAAATAAACAAAAGTTTTTCCTTCATCTTTTTTCATGATTTTATCATTCATAGTGTTTTAATTGAATATTTATAAAATATTAATGTTACATTACCATTGCTATGACAAGCAAGTCTGTTTCAATAGTAAATGTAAATTGTTCATTATGTCAGGATTGACAACAAAAAGCCACACTGCAAAAAAACTCCAGCATCTTACAAAGTCTAGTTTCTATTGCAAATATCTCAGTAAACTTGAAATAAGACAAAATCAACTTATAAGTAACTTGTGATCAAGACAAAGGAGCTTGTTTCAAGAAAATAGGTCGTTAATATTGATAAAAAATGCCAGTTCCTGTGGCAGATTATTACAGCTGTAGCAATAAATTTTTCTCATGTTATAAGTGAAATTATTTACCAGGGGAACTAATACGTCCTCATCGGTTTTAAGGAATTATCGACTCGGTTCAAATTGGGATCAAAATTCCCATATTTGGTACATTTTCAGCTGATTTTCGCTCTCACACTGCACTGAGTCAAACGACACAAACCACTTGAAAAACCTGTTCCCCTCCTCGTCTGTGGGGGCGCTGGACTGAGAACCCCTGAAGGAAATGACATAAAAATTCTGAGAAAGACGCCGAACAGGACTTCCTTCTTTGCGAAAATGTAAACAAAAATTTTACCGCTTGTAAGATTTCTTTTCGTCTTTGGTAAAAGATGATGAGAAATTTCTCCCGCTACGTCTAGACACACTTTTATTTCAGTTGAATTTACCCACAATGCCCTGCTCTGTTGACCACTTCCTGCTTTTGGTGCTGGTTACCAAAAGAGAAAAAACATTTGCTGATTAGTTTGTAGAAAAACAAACTAATCTGTCTCAACAGGCCTGGTGTGGATGCAGCCTAAGCATCTCAAGAGTTTGAACAGCAGCCATAAGTACGCAATTATTCTTAAATCATATGCAAAAACTACAGTGTGTACTGAAAAGCTGGAGCTTCAGATGCAGAGCAGCTAACATCAGAATCATAACAGGGCGAGTTTTGACGAATCAGGAGATATGGAGGTGAAACACCTGCTCACCTTTCACATTGTTTTTATTTCCTCCTGCGAGTGAAATGAAAAGTGATGGTGTGCTTGCAGGTCAGCGACCAGCTGGTGGAGATCAACGGGGACAGCACGACCGGGATGACCCACAGCCAAGCCGTGGAGATGATCCGCCGCGGAGGCCACCGGATCCACCTGGTGCTCAAGAGAGGCAACGGCTATGTGCCTGATTACGGTGCGACACCGCCCGAGGTTTTTCAAGATAAATCCTGCAAAAATATAAAACCTTCAGGTCCAGTTTCTACTGTAAATATCTTAATACACTTCAAAACAAGTAACTCTCATCAAGATATAGGAGCTTGTTATAAGTCAATAATAATTCCTTAATTATTTCCCGTATAACAAAACATTTTCCCCATGTTATAAGTGAAATAATTTACCGGTGAAACTAGAACTTTTTCATCAGTATTAAGGAATTATTCGCTTAAAACCAACTCCTGTATAGTGTTAAAAACTTACTTGCTTGCAAGTTAGTTTCGTTTTATTTTAAACATACTAAGACATTTGAAAAATACTTGGTAAGATTTTGTGTTTTTGTAATAAAAGCACCAAAATACATGTTAGGTGCCTGAATGGACAGATGTATTTCATAATGATAAACTCATGTTCTTATATTTGCGTCTTTTGGGTGTCATTTTCTTTATTCCTCTCTTTTATCTTAATGACTAACTAAAATCCTTTCCACTGTTTCCTTCTCTCTACTTCTCTACTTTTTAATCTACTTTTAATCCATCACTTTTCTGCTCCATTAAAACCTCCTTTCTGGTAACATTTTCACTCCACCTTCCCCTGGTGCATGTCTTGGTTGTCCCTTTCATTCCTCTTCATTTCCACTCGTTTTTTTTCTTCTCTTTGCCTCTCAGTGGAGCTCTCCAGTTTGTCTCTTTGTATGACCAACTCCAAGCTAGGCGAGCCTTGCTTCTATGTCATTGGACGGACAGAGAATACGCGGTTGGTAATGGTTCCTGTTAGTTCTCCCATTTTCTGCCTCTCTACATCTCTTTAACCACTCTCCACTGCTGTCTGCGCTCAGTAAAAGTTAGCATATGTCGGACCTCCTCATTATAAGATTATGAAAGTAGTTTGTAGTGAACAACGTTATGTTTCTTGCAAATTCGCCTCTGAGCAGAATGCTTTTGCCTTCATGATTTGTGAGTATGTGGATGCATAATCTGAGAGCACGCTAATAAATAAATGCATGTTGTATGATTAATTCATGTTGCAGCACAGTAAGGATGTTCTTACCCAAGACGACCTTAAGAGCAGTGAAACACTTAAGCTAGAAGCTTCTTAATGTGCAGTGCCTTGCAGTCGTATTTATGGGGGTTGAGCATGAAAATCACATTTTGTTAGCATTTTGTCTGACAGACCAGCACAAAGTCATGCATAATTGTGAAGTGGAAGGAAAGGGAAGCATAGTTTAAAGCATATTCATGACAAAAAATCTTCAGAACCCACCAAGCAACACAAGCAGAGCTCTGTCATGTTTAGTCAGTTGGTTTTCCTAAATCGTATGCAAAAACTACAGTGTGTAGAAAAACATCAACAGCGGTTTTCTGTTGATGTACCATCCAGAAGCCACTTCATATTGTCTTGTTGGTTGAACAGAAAGCTCTACTTATGCTTTTCAAAGATGTACGGTTGTGTATAAATGCACTTCTGTTTGCAGACATTTTTAAGTAAACATTGAGTTGGGGGGCGTGGCCAGCAGCAGATTATTAGGATTTAAAGTGACAAGAGGCCCTAAAATATCTCATTAGGATTTGACGAAAAATAAAAAGCTGAAAAGTGTGGAGTGAATTTGTGTTTATCCTCGCCGCAGCTCTAAGCTTTACTGCTGCACCTGCAAATCTTTTCTGGTAACATCTTTAACTTAGTTAGCCTTAAATTGATAGAGCTGCTCTTTGACTAGGCCATTGTGAATAAATGAACTTTAATTAGAGGAGATCTGTTTTGTAAAATTCTCATTTTTGTTCTTCCATTTGGATCTCTACTGCTTCCAAAAATAGACAAAGAGCTCAAACCATTTATCCAACCATTTTTACAAAATAAGTTTTTTATCAAAATCAAAAGCCCAGAAATTCTTTGGGAACCGCTGACCCAACCTGTTTAAGGAAGAATAATTGTTTGTGTTTAAAGTAACACTACTTTGACTGGCATGAAAGTGTTTTATTTTTAATTTAAGAACAAGGAGATTTATCCAAACATAAATAAAACAAGCTGTAATTAAACTCTATATTGCTTTTTCACTGGGTTAATCTTAAAAATAAATCCTTTAAAAAGTCAGTGAACAAGACAAATCGTGTAAAATTTTAAAACTTCATTCATACTTCTGCAAAGCACTGCGGACCAGATAAATCTGTCAGGCAAAGATTTAATTTTTCTTCCTGTCATCTAGCGACTTATCTTGTCTCCTCTCCGTTTCTTCCTCACCTGTTCAGCCCGTGAGCACAGAATCACCTCCTCCTCCCTCCTGCACAACCCCAAAGAGCAGAGTCTGGCTGCAGTGAGCTCCAGGAGGGGGCGCCGCGCCAAGCAGACGAAGAGGAGCAGGTCGGTCGGAGACGTGAAGGAGAGCAGGACGGGAGCGATCAGAGGAAGAAGGCGGGGCTCCGTAGGAGGAGGTCGCTTACGGAGCCCCGCCTCTAAGCGCGGGGACGGGAGGAGGAGGCCTCAGAGTTTACCGAGAGACGTCATCAGGAAATCTGAAGATGAAGAGGCAGGAAGGGGAAGAAGAAGAGAGAAGGAAAGAGGGAGGAGCAGACAGAGAGAGAGGAAAAGCAGGAGTTTGGAGAGGAGGAGGAGGATGACAGAGGAGGAAGTGGAGGAGGAAGGATCTGCTGCTGAAGAGGAACCAAAAGGAAGAGCGAGTTCAATAGAAAGTGAAGATGACGATGTTTTCCTACCTATTCCAGTCCCGATGCACAGACTCCCCAGACCGAAGGAAAACCAGGAGGACGGAACTGATGAAGACTGGAACATGGCGGCAGAATACCGGAGCCTGAGGAGGGACAAAGAGGAGGAAGAGGAGGAGGAAGAGGAGGAATGCGGCGCAGAGTCGGGCATCTCTGATTGGCCCTTACCAGGTGTCACCGTGGCGGGTCCGGAGTCGCACAGAGAGCCGTTCTCTTTCCTCGCCTCCATGCTGTCCGAGAACCAGCTGGGCGACGCCACGTCTGAGTCTGGAGACAGCCAATCAGACGCCAGCGTCTCCGCCGCCAGCATTTCAGGGCTCTCGCTGGCCGCCGCCGCGCTGCCCGGCCCGTGGCTCGTTCCGGGTCAGCAGAGGCTGGTTCAGTTTGAGGATGAGCGACACGGGCGGGACAGGAGAAGGAGCAGCAGCAGCAGCAGCAGCAGCAGCGCTGTCTCCTGACTGTCAACGAGCGATGAAACACGCAGCATTTAAACGGCATCAGATTCTGTTCCATCTCCACCTGCACCAACCGTTTCTGAGTCACTTTAAACCTGCAGCTCATGTTCTTTGTGCCTTTCTGCAGCTCATCTCTGGACCACAAAGCGCCACATTTCCGTTTGAGCCTCCACCAAACATTGTAAACATTTTTCCAGAACGCTGCTGCACATTTCAACCTACCTTCAGTTACTGACCCATTCTGCAAAAACACAAAATATTCCCACGTGTTTCTGGTCGAGTTTCAAATGTCCTGGTGCCCATGAAATGTAGTGCAATAAAAGATTAAACAAAGTTATTTCTGACGGTGTTGTTAAATTTAAAGGAAAATACTGCTTCCACTGATAGATTATTTCTATGGAAGAAGAATAAGAACAAAATCTGAATTCTGATTTTTTTTTTTTAAATCTGAATTCTGAGAAAAAAATTTTACAAATTCAGAGAGGATAGTCAAACCCTCCTCTAAGTGGTCCTAATCTGCATATTTCACTTATAACAAGGTGAAAATGTCCTGTTACTGTCAGCGGAACTGGCAAGTATTTATCTATATTCATCAATTAATCACTTAAAATGCTGAAAAGTTACCTGTAAGTTAGTTACGCCTTATTCCACATTTACTAAGACATTGGCACAAGAAATTAGACCAAAATTACTTGGTAACGGTTTGTGTTTTTGCAGTGTATCCACTTCTTCAGCTTCCCTCTGTCCACTTTTGATTACAGCAAAGACTTTTTACCTCATGAAGATACTGAGCAATAAAAATGCTGCGACTGTCCGAGACTATCAGCCGTCCATATGCACTCCGCTGCGTGTGTGTGTGCGTGTGTGTGTGTGTGTACGATAACTGTTTCAGTGTGTGTGTGAAACCCTTTTTGAAGCTTCCCTATTCTGTAAATATCTGTAAAGAAAAAAGTGAAGAGTTTATTGTAAATATTATAGTTGGAGAAGCTCTGATTTGTATAAAATTAATATATTTGAATATATGCACTGAACAGACACATATATACACATATATCTTACAAATAACGGGTAACTGACCGTTTTTATTGTTGTGCGATGATGTGAAAATCAGTACCCAACTTCTGTGAACACATAAATATACAGTGCCTTCCAAAAGTATTCACATCCCCAGAACCTTCTCACATTTTGTATCGACACAACCACAAAATGCAGTGTTTTAAATATTATCAATGTGACCGACGAAATATTTTAAGAATAAAGAGCTGAAAAGTGTGGCGTGAATTTGTGTTTATCCCCTCCCCCTGACTTGACGTTAGCTTTGTCTTTTAGAGTAACAGCTCCAGGTCAGTTGCTAACCCTCAAATTGATTCTTTGACTAGGCCATTCTGATGCATAAATAAGCTAATTAAATGAGACCTATAATGCAAAAATCACATTTTGCATTTTTTTCTACTTCCGTTTGTGTCTCTACTGCTTCTAAAAATAAACAACCCAAGCGCTCAATGAAAACACCCAGCTGTTTTCTGGCAACAAGTTAAAATTGTTGCTTTAACTTGATGTTTGGAAAATGAGCCGTTTGAGAAACATCTGTAAATCTGCGCTGTCACCCAGCAACCCAAGCGGTGCTCCAGGACAGTTGGTCAGCTGGATTTACAGCTGTAAAATGGCTGCTGGAAAAGGCAAATGTTTTTTTTACTGACTTACCATTTAGAAACCGCTTGCTACATTCTTGTTGGTTGTGCAGGAGGCTCTACTTTTGCTTTTCAAAGATGTATGGTTGCATAAATGTGCATCTGTTTGCAGCCATTTTTATGTGGGAGTGTAACGTTGAATTGGGGGCGTGGCCAGCAGCAGCTGTTTATTTGGATTTAAAGAGACAGGAGGCCCTAAAACAGCTCATTCTAGTTTTAAAAAACTAACAAGCTCCTATCAAGAAGCATTAGCATCCATTGTATGTAACTAGCAATCTATAAAGTTTTAGCAATATTAAAATTGTAAGGCGGCAATACAGTGACGTTTTGTCCTGCCCTATTTTCTGTTTGTTCTTGTTTTATTCTCTTGAATACCTCTGATACCTTCACTGAACACCTCAATTTATGCTAATTTTGAATTATTTTGTGAGAACTAGAAAACACTGTATTAATTTCAGTGGTTGTTTCTGACATGGCAGTTGCCCAGGGTGGCATTAGGAAGTGGGCAGCAGTTTGAACAAGTTTTAATACGTGTTTGCTTGTTTTTCTGCTGTCACAGAAATCCCAATTAAAGTTGCTGAAGCTTGTTGTGCCCAATTCCAGTCATTCAGAGCAACTTTTAGATGCATCTGTGCTTCCTGAATCAAAAGACTAAGCTCCTGAATCAGCAGTAATCCAACTCTGCAAGAGCCTGGAAATGAGCCAATCCAGCATTTGGTCAAGCTGGATTGGAGTAGGCCACCAAAAATCTAATGAGGTTAAAGGGTGTGAATACTTTTTCAAGGCACCGCAAACAAGTACTACAGACTACAGGCGTATGTTCCTATTTATTACTGTGCAATGATGTGAAAAATCCCACCTTTTGTAAACACACAAACAATTGTAGCACCTGTAATAGTCTTAAGTGAATGTTTTGTAAAATGCTGCTTGAGTGTTTCAGAGTTGAACCGTTAGCGAAGGATGCCAAAAAATATGCACCCGGTGTGTGTATTCATATTTCCAGTACTGTTGTTATCGTGTATGTGGGGTCAGAAGAAAAAGAGAAAAACAACAACAAAAAAAAACAATATCTAGATTCCTGAGAGTGCTGTGCCCATTGTGCCACGTACAGTTGCCTTGGTAACAAACCACTTTATCCTAACCACTGATTTTTCTTACTGTGAAAATCTTTTGCTCTGAGGTTTCTAATGCTACAGATGAGTGGACCGTTGAGGAATTTCAGCCATGCCAAAAAGAAAAGTATTTTAAAAAGATAAAAAAATTTGAGGAATCTGAGCTCTGAGATGGTGAACTAGCACATCACTTTCTGTTGCTCTTTTGAAATTATTATGATTTAAAGGAATCAACCTGAATGGATACTGTGAGATGTTATTTTTCTATTTAAATAATAATGATAGTAATAAAGAAGATTTTTCTTTTTTTTATATACTCAGGTTTTCTGACACTTTGCTCTAGAAAAGCCATTCGGGTGAGAAGCTGCTCTTGCATTATTATTTTAACGCTACAGCAATATTATGTTGATTTTCTGCAGCTGCATCAAAAGACACAGACTGTTATTACTACCAGTCATCTCCCAAATGCATAAATCAACTTTACCTGCTGTTTCCAGTCCATTTGATCGCTCTGCTGTGCTGCAAATGACCAGGCGATCATGTTGTATTCTCCAACACACTGTAGCTTTGCCTATTTTATAATGTTTGCTAATATTGTTATTTTTTAATATATATGTTCATTTTGAAATTGGCTGAACTGTAAAGTGAAAATAAAGTGCAGAAGCATTTTTTGTTTCTTTTTTGCATTGACTTGAATGTCTCCGTGTTATTAATGTTTATGGAGCCTGTTATTAGACAGCAGATGGCAGCAAAAATGCATTACAGAGTTTTGGACAGAAGATAAAAATTGGTTTTATCTTTTTTTTAACTATTTGTCACTGCGACATTATTAGAAATAAATAAGAAAAAAGAAGTGGTAGCCTGCAGATGATACATATTTAATGTTTTTCTGGGTAAATTGCAGAATTTTACAGTTATTAATCGAGGATATCAGGTGTTTGTGTGTGTGTTTTTTTTATTGTGTCTGAGAGAGAGAAAGAGAGAGAGAGCAGGTGAATTAACTGCGTTTCAGTTCACATATGAGCTCTAAAAATAACATCGCTCTGAGGCATGTTTTCCTCTTATCTCCTGTAAGCCACATCCTTCTGTTCAAGTCAGCTGAAGCGAGAAATAAGGATAAAAACAGAAAAGTCTTGTTTTATATGAGGAGGACGTGAAATATTACAGTAAAAAGGAAACTTGGGCTTTTAAATATTGAGAAATATTCAGCGCAATGGGAGCAGAGCTGCACTGGTTGTGTTGTCTCCTCACTGGATTTACTGAGCGGAGTAAAGCTGGACAGACGAAATGTGAGGTTCAAACGGGACTTTCAAAATAAAACACACCAACACGCTTGGTACAGTGTCCAAACTATTTGAGCCAAAATGTTTTATTGAAAAGTATTTTTGGGACAAAATAAATAAATAAACAAAAATAAAGTAGTAAAAAAATTGTTTGTTGGGATATTATTCATGTTCACCTTATTAAAAGAACAGTATATAGTTTTCAAACCCTTTTGGGGAGAATTTAACACTTAATTCTCGGCTATAAGAACAGGATTTCTTATAACTTTTAAAATGTTTGCTGTATTTAGCCAAATTCAGTAAAATATTCATGTTTTGACCCACTGTTTATTGAAATGTAAGGCTGCGTTCCCACTGGTTTTTTATTTTATTTTTTAATTTTATTTCATTTATCTATTTCTCTTTTTTTGCCTTAATGCGACCCATATCTTTTTATGACGGTCTGAACAACACAGGTCGGATTGTTTCGGGTTTCCGATCTATTCGAATGTGACCTGAATCTTAACGGTCAGGGTCGCGTTCGCGAAACGGAACGTCATTGATACTCGACCGACGTCACTTTTCTGCGCCCCGATACGAGCAAGAGGGAGGAAAGACAACAACATTGCGGATGATAGTGAGGATTAAGTTGTTTTATATCCTGGCTCCGGTCGGGCAACAACTTTAACTTTAAGCTATGCTACACTGTTAGCATCCATATTCACTAAAAACTGAGCGCTTATTGTTCTTTTATTTTTATGATGTTTGGAAATCAGCTTAATGTCGTTTTGTGTTTGTGTCAGATGTTTTGCAGATTTTAAACGAGGAGCTCTTCTTTTTTATGGCAGTTGGCAAACCACGAGCGGCCTTTAGTGCGCATGCGGGACACTTCCAGGATGTTTGAAGTTCACATCCAAGCGGGAAGTTCGACCAGGCCAAAGGAAAAAATAATATCCGATTTCACAAACAATCGGATTTGGGTCACTTCAAGCTGCGGTGTCAGACGTAGCCTATGACAACAGTTAAATGAGTGAAATCATAATTTTGCCCCTGCCGTGTTGTGCTTTATTGTGAAAGTCTCTACCGGATGTTCATTAAGTTCCATGTGGAAACTTGGCGGAGATGCGCTCCTGTGGAGAAGCCAACCGCTTTTTTCCCCGCTCATGAGAAGCGCAAGCAGCGAAACCTCTCTGCCTCCTCGCCTGCTGAGAGGAAAAACATCATCACATCACTTCTGCTCAGACTGGGAACCTGCAGCAGCTGAAAGGGCACAATAAGTAAGAAAAGCGGCTTGGTGAACTCTGTAGACCCAATTTGATGTCTGCAGCGACGCCTGCAAACACAGAAGTGCAGTTTTAGGATTTGGACCGTAAAATTAGCCCAGGTAGTTTTTTTTTAAATTCCCCTATAAAGCAACAACTTGTGCGTTAATGCTTAATCCGGAGGGAAAGTGGAGGAAAAGACCAGAGACGCTCAGTTTGGGATTTAAATTAAAAAAACCCGGGATGTAGTGTTTTGGGGTTTGCTTTCCCCTTTATGCTCGGACCTGTTGGTGGGGGGAGAGGATCTGCACTCCCAGGATGAACTTCCCAATCTAAGTCTGCGTACTTCTTGCGCTTTGAAGACATTTTTAAATAATGGGTTGAAAGCGGAGAAGATGTACTGCGGGGACACTCAACGTGGGAGGGAGCTGATTTTTCTCTGTTATGTAATGATTGCCAGCGCCTGATAAGAAATTGGTAAATCACAACCCGCACCACTTCCCCCAACCTTTTCCCCTGTCTGTCCAAGAAGTGTGCTTTTTATTCATATTTATAATTTAGTGAAAGCTGGTACTATTAAAGCTATTAACAGTGTAACTTGATGATCTGTTTAAATCTGTCAGAAAACTTAAAAAGCAGAGATCCTTGTTAGTGATTAGTTACCCTTGTTTCTCCCTCCACTGGATGATCTCTTGTTGTTTTTTGTGTTTTATCTGTAAATTGTGAATCATGATGTCTCAAATTGTTGACCTTCTCTCTGGTGGAGTTAAAATGACTGCAACTTCAGGAAACCAGACTCTCACCAGCATCCTGAGCTTCATTTTGAGCTTTGAACCCTCGTCATGCCGTAACATGCTATAATGCTTGTTCTTGCCCTCATCCTTAGGGATATGTAGTCATTCTGAAACTCTCAATCCCTTCACCTTTGTGACTTTCTGTTTCTGAACACCAAAGGTCAATAGTTAAACTTCTGCAGAGACTTTCTTAGGTCCTCCCTCCCCCCAACTCATCAGGGCTGGTGGGGAGGGTGGAGGCGAAACTCCAGCTCGTGGTGTTCACACACGCCAAGAGGAAGGCTCCCACCATGGAGTCCAACCCGGAGAGCCCCAACCGGGCCGTGGAGTACCTACTGGAGCTCAACAACATCATCGAGAGCCAGGCCAAGCTCCTCGAGACGCAGCGCCGGCGCATTGAGGAGCTGGAGGGGCAGCTGGACCGGGTCAGTCAGGAGAACCAGGACTTGAGGCTGGAGCGTGGCCCCCGGGGGTCCGACCCCCCGGAGCAGAACCACAACCACAGCCAGCCTCTGACCCTTCCGATCCAGCCAGGCGGTGGTGGGGGCTGCAGCGGGAGTGGTGGCACCTCAACGCCTCAGGTGACATCTGGATCAGCCACAACTCCAGGGCCCAGCAGGGAGCGCAGGAGTCACGCTAGACTGACGCGAGGCCTTTCCTGCGGTTCCTCCAACACGGACCGGGACCGGCTGGAACGCACTGACAGCACAGACACCAACACCAGCTCCAGCGCACGCAGGAAGTAAGTCCACCAAACACAGGCGTCTCATCCATTCTGTAGACTAATCGGGATGATGTAACTTGGGGTAAATTCACACCAGCAATGTTCAGTCCGCCTTAACTGAACTCTCGTTCGTTTGTCTAGAAAGTCCAGTTTGTTTTGGGAGGTGTGATCTGATCCGCTTTGGTCTCGCTTCTGTTGAAGTAAACTCTGGTGTGGTTCGAATGCAAATGTGAAAGGCGAGTGAACTGGAAACCACTCCAAAAGCAGGAGGTGTAGCAGTGGGCATTCTGGGTAAATGCAACCAAAACAAATACGAGAGTGTCGCGCGAGCGGGAGAAATGGGTTATGATCTTTTAGCTAAGACAAAAGAGAAATCCTACAACCACTAAAATTTCACGCCACTCTAATTTTGTTTAGATTTTGTGTAGAAGGAAGTTGGGCTCATGTCTTCTTTGGAGGTTTTTATGCGGTTTCCTTCAGTAGTTCTTGGTGCAGCGCCCCCATAGGCAAGGAGGGGGACAGGTTATTCAATTAGTTTGGTTCATTTGACACAACAGAATTTGAAAGTGAGCCACCCAACTAAAAATTTAACAACTGTTGTAATACTGATTCCTAATTGAACCAAGTCCACTGGACTATCAGGTGTGAAAACAGCCTCAATGTGCTTCAGTTGATGAAAACATTTTACACCAGCCATGTTTAGTCAGGAGCGGTACAAATCCATATATGGATGCAAATGTACCAGAGACTCCTCCAAAAGGAGGAAGGGAACTATAGCACAGAGTCTTCTGGGTAAATGCAACCAAAACAATTGCAACAATTTAGCTTCACCTTGTCTTCTGTTTCACCAAACACATGAGCAATCCATCAGCTGCCAAAATCTAATGCTACTTCACTTTTGTTTATGTTTTGTGAAGAAGGAAGTTGTGTTTGATGTTTTCTTTAAAGGCTTTTCTGTTTCTTCCCTCAGTGCTTCTTTGTGCAGCGCCACCACAGGCAAGGAGGGGAACGTTTTTCTCAATTGGTTTGGTTCATTTGACCCAGTGTAGCGAGAAAGCAAACCTCACCACCTAAATATGTATCAAAAGTTGCAATTTGGTTGCAATTTTAGAACCGAGTCTACCAGCCTGTGAGGTGTGAAAACACCCTTCGACGGCTGACCGCAGTCTCCAGAATATCTCGGCTGTGACAGAACATTTTCATGGTGAGGCCTCAGTCTGACAGGCAGGGAAAAGCAGCAACCTTTCTTGTCATTGGTGATAGTCCTCACATTAAGGCACTGGCTCTCAGCGGGGGCATTTTAATCCAAGACCATGAGAAAATTATCTCAGTACTGGAGGATTGTGGGTAAATTGTTAAAAGCCCAAGGTGATTTTTAAATGGTAGATTAATAGTGTGTGTAGGTGTGTAGGTGTGAACAATGTTCTGTTGAAGAAACATTCAGCAAGGACACTTCTGGGTCTTTTTTTTCTAGTCTTTTAGAATGGAAAAGTTAACTGAATGAAAACATGATACTATTTTGAAGATTTACGGTTGATAACTTAAAAAAAATAGAAGCAACTAAATCTCATGACAACAACTCAGTGCATCAACTCGCTGAAGTTCAAACGCCAATAATCGGACTTTGAATGTACGAGTTGTTGTTGGCACCAGTACTTCAGAAACGACTGATCCATACAAACATTTCTCTCAAAATGACAAAATATCCAATTAATGGCATTTGTTTAGATTGGACAAAAATGTGTTATTGGTGTAAGAGGAGAGAAACTGGTCTGAGATGATAGTTAAACAAAGAACAAACTTTTTGCTCCCATAGCACCAACTGGACATAAAGTAGCTTCAAAACTACTTTTTGGACATGAAACTGAGAAGTTTTGCAATAAAAGAGTGTTTGCTGTTTGTAATTTAGAACTATTTGCACTTATGTACAATGTTAAATGTGACTTTCTATTACTCGACGAATCATTATGGTTTATAATATTTAGTAGATAGAAGTAAGAAATTCTTCCTTCTGCAGGTGGTAGTAAACAATCAGAGCCATTATTTTTAATTTTTTGACAAGAATCTGCATCAAATTAATAATTATGCTTTAGTGTGAAAAATTACTGGGATTTTTTAATATATATATTTTTTGTGCGTCTTTTCCAGCAGCCATTGTATGACACAAACAGCGGTAAAACCAGCTGGTCTAGAAACGGGGATTATCAGGCTGTTGATGTGCTTTAAAACAAACAAAAAACATTAATCTAAGTGTTTGATGTATGAGTGCAGTGTGGGAGACGGGAACTACAAATTCCCCTGAGCGAAAATGACCAAATGTGCTGGAGCTCTGCTGGGGTTGCCTGTCATTGTCTTTGTGACAATTGTGAGGTTTTTTAAAGGGCTCATTTTCCAGACAACAAAAAAACATTAACAAATTTTTTTTAAAGAAGCTTTTGTTTTTAGAAACAGTTGAGATAAAAATGTGAAAAATTAGATTTTTTTAAGAAGGATTGTTGGGCTGGGCAATAATTTCCCCAAGTAAAGGATGTTAAGATTTTGTAAATTTTTCAGTGTTAAATTAGCCACTGCTTTAAAATAGGAATTACTTTAAGGTCTTTTTACACATCTTTACTGGTATTCTGTTTATCTGTGCTGTCCAACACCAGCACTGCATGTTTTCCTTTTTGTTGTTTTTCTTTATAATTTTCCAACTTGCAGCTGACCTGAAGCCAGATTGCCCCACACACACACACACACACACACACACACACACACACACACACACACACACACACACACACACACACACACACACACACACACATAACACAAAATATAAAATATTTTCTATAAATATATAAACATGTATCTATGTAAAATATGTTTGAATAAATACATATTTATATATATACATATACATATATATACAGATATACATATACATCTATATCTATATATATATATATAGAAAGTGCATTTAATAAGTCACAGACTGTTTCTAGCACTGTGTAATGAATAATACACGACTAATGATAAATGAATAATAATTAAAAATAATAGTGGATAAATAGCTTAAGACCAAATGCAAAAATTAAATCATATACAAATCTATTAATCTCATGTTAAATAAATTAAAATATATTACTTTTTATTTAAGTATTTATGTCAGCTTGAGTTATGCAGAACTGATGTGATTGTTGCTATGGAAATGATCAGAAGCAAGATGTTGCGCCAGAAGTCCAGTGAGGTCACTGATGAGGTCATAGATGACATTATTTACATCACAATAGATCGAAGAGGTTCTGATGCTTAAATGATTGAATCTGAAAGCATCAGCCAGATCAACACAGTTTGTAGAGAGTGAGAGTTGCACAGGAAAATTATGTTTGGACTTGCAGAAGCACTTGTCCCCATGTTAATTCCCCTCGGCTGGGGCATTGCATATGCAGTAACCACCGGGATGAAAAATATTACCGATTGTTACTTTCCCGGGAAGGATTGCGAAGAAAGAAAGGATTCCGAAGAAAACATGGATCAACGTGGAGAGGAGGATCCTACACCCGTTTTCGTTGGTCCCATCTTTGGCCCTTCCGATCAATACTCCTCTCCGCACCTCTTACACAAGGACGTTTCCTTTAAGAAGTTCCCTGGACGAGGAAGGTATTTTGGCTCAAAGACATACTGCAAGGATAACAGTTGGGCTCGAGATCGATTGTCCCCCAGACATGAAAAAAGAAGATGGTGTCGGCTCAGAGGTCCCAGGGACAGAGAAGACGGCATTGGTAGGCAATGGACTAGCAGAGGATGGACTCTGCTACAGCTGGGTGGACGCTGCTCTCCAGAGCGTCCTGAACCTGAGCATCACACGGAGGTGTCTCGCTCAGGAAAGGGACTTTCTGGAGGCTTCGTCCATCCCCAGTTGGGCGAGTGTCATCATGTCTGCAGTCCATCACCCCGGCAGACATTTTAGTCAGGAAGACCTTTTCCCTGTTTTGATGGAGCTGAGGGAGAGGTACCAGCCATCGGACATGGGAAGGGACTTCGACGATAAATGTTTGCTGGAGTCATCGATGGTCTGGCTGGACTCTTTCGGCAGTGCCACAGATAGAGAGTTGTATAACAACAACTCTTGTTCTGTCTGTGGCACTGTGTTTCTTGAGCTGCTGAACAACGGCTCCCTGCTCTCCCTTCCACCGGTGAGATTTCCAACCAGTATTTCCACTCTCGTGTATTACTGGTTGGATGTGCGGGGAAAACGCCGTTGTTCGGTGTGCTGGTCGGCCTTGTAGAGAAAGCACTGCCTTACTAACTATAAGGTCCTAGTGTTTTTTTCTCCACAGGCTGACCAGGAAACACCGAATAGTTCCCAGTCAGGTCATAGATGTGCCGGCCAAATGCGAAGGTGGTACTGAAAGGTACCACCTGTCGTCTGTTGTCTGTGGGAGATCAGAGCTGACCCACTTCTATACATATTTAATGACTGGGGGACAAATCATGAAGGCAGAAAACCAGAATCTCTCTACTGTAGACTTTAACAACTGCAGTGAAGACATCTCCAGAAACGGTTTCATTTTTGTGTACGAGAAATCATGAAATTGTGACGTTTGACGTGATAGTCTTTCCAGCCCACTCCTCCGTAAGACGATGAAGGTGACTTTGCAGGGGAGCCAAAAATATTAAATTCAAAAGAAGAAAAAATCACAGAAGACCAAACATTCATGGGACCGGAAGAACCACTAGGAGGACTTGGAGGGAAGACCACAAGGAGGCAAGGACCCAGAGGGAGAACCACTATGACGCGAGAACACGAAGGGAGGACCACTCGGAGGCGAGGACACAGAGGGAGGACCACTATGAGGCGAGGACACAGAGGGAGGACCACTAGGAGGACTCGGAGGGAAGACCACAAGGAGGCAAGGACCCAGAGGCGACTCTTGTGTTGCAGCTGCATTCTGACTCTGTAGAGGTTTTCTCTTCTAAAGCTCGCGCTGCAGGTGTGTTTTTCGAGAGAAGAACATAGTTACAGGTAGTTTTTT